TGACAAACCCCACCCATTGAAGAAGGGACGTGCATTGAAGGAGCAGAGCAGTGTTGTGGCAGAGGAGGTAAAAGGGGCTAATTTCCTCCTAATTGAGCCACAGGGTCCTTGTTTTGTCAGGAGATTTAAAGCCAAATGGAGTCGGATTCCCGCAGATCTCCTGGGATGATGGGAGGGCAGAGCTGAAGTCTTGCAGAGCCTGGAGATCCCAGCAGTCCCCCCACCTTCTAATCCCTATCATTAACTCTTCTGCACATAGAAAAATGGCCTGCTTGCCAACTGTTCTCCTCTCATCAGCGCTGTCCTTTGTCCCTTCATGTCTTGACCGCCGTCCTCTCTTTCATTAGTGTCGTCTTCACTTCTGCCAAGGTTGTCGTTTCCTGCCGTTTCCACAAGGTCTCTCCGTATTCTTCCCTGAGAATGCAGGTGGCACACAGACATACGATGTGTCACCAGCACGTTTCAATAAAAGAATGACTTGTCTTATAAATAATCACTGAGGGGAAGAATGACAAAATGTGTCATCTGTAATAAAATCACTCATCTGACCTATTTATATAATTGGACAGTATTAAGAAATAAAAAAACACTAACTGGCTGGGGCTGTATGGGTCATGAAAAATAACGTTTATATTTTCATTCCATCGTGCCGTCCACTAAATAGCTTACTTTCCGCAGCTATAAAACAAAAGTCTCCCAGCAGCACCTCGGAGAGACAAACTGTCCTATTATAGCATATCCTGTGTGCTTGCTGTTTTGTCATCCAACACAAACACACAATCGCTCCGACACATGGTGCGGTGGGTAGGATGGGTGCGAGGGTGGTCCAGGGTCCGGCGAAGGAAGAGGGGAAACACCTTGTGACCTTCTTGTTCCTGACCGAGCTACCAGAGGCAAAGAGACAACAAGGATGGGCAAGCGGAGAGGATAGCCAGGCGGCGGTCCCAGTGATGGCCGACCAGGGTTGTTGGTTCACCCCTAACATCCTGACAACCAGCTGGCATCTCCTTTGTTTGCTCACTGTTTAAATCACTCTAATCGTGTGGAAAACATGCACAGAGGGGGACATTTTGATTGTGTTTAGTGGCAAAACTAAACTGAAATGGACAAAAATGCAATGTCCTCTGAAATTGTGTGTATTTTTCTCTCTCTCTCCGTGTTTATTTTTTGGCAGACGTGCAACACGGAAAGTAGATAAGTGACAAATAAACAGCCAAGATTGTGTCTCTTGTGGCAACAAAAATAATCAGCGCGCAAACAGTGCTGCAGCTTGGCTCAGGCCGGGCCATGTTTGGGTTGTGATATGGATGTCAGACCCAACTGTCTCCCAGGCACAGACAGTCTGACTTCTGCCGCAGATAAACACACAGCTCCGCCGGACCCATCCAAGGAAAACTTTGATGCGAATACGCTGCGCTCTCAGCTTCCTGCCCCTGCAGCACCGAGGTGGAAATGAATGTTGATACATACTTACAGGACCCTGTGACTTCCTTTTTTCTTCCACGATTTTTTGAGCTTTTGTAAATTACAACAACACACTAAAGGCAGAAAAAAGGTTGCAAAACAATTAGCATCGGCCAAAAGAGCTCTCTTCATCTTTGCCTCCAGTTAAATGCAGGAAGTGTGAAGAAACTTTAATGAAACAATCAACAGGTGTGATGCTCATTAGCTGTGAAGCTCAGAGCGACAAAATGAAACAATAGGGCAGCCATATCAAAGCAAACACTTTTATAACTGGCTGGGAGTCTCCACTCAGCTCAATGTTGAGTCCAGGTCAGCAGATGTGTGGCAAAGATAGTCATTTGTGACCTCGGCCTTGATGGTTTAATGAGGCCCTTCCATTAAAGCACAGCACACAGCCCTCATAAGGCGATAAGCACACATTTCTTATCCTGTACATTAAGAATGTGCGGAGTAAGAAAGATGGCAATCTCTAACATCCTAGTTGGTTTTCCTGTTTCTTAAATAAAAAATATAAAAATCCTTCATGATTTGAGGAGGGAAAATACAGGCCGGACACTCAGGATGACCTGTGATGTGATGACGTGTACAGCCTGTATGCACAGCCTCACCATGAGCCTTGCCCTCGCACATCTGGAGGCGTGGCCCTCGCCCCATGGCACGAGGGTGCCATGTCGTCTGACACCGCGGAGTCGGCACTTAGCGAGCCAACGTTAAAAGGCCGCTGCTCTCAGTTTGTTTAATCATGTCACGGACCGGCAAATATGAGTCCAGCAAAAGTTATTTTCATCTTCCTGGCACGGAGCGCCTCCACGGATGGATCTGTAAGCTTACACGCACAGATCCAGATCCATCTTCTCACGGGAGGGAGCCTTTGCTGGGACCCCAGCATGATTTGTGGAATCGGCGTTGGCCACAAATCAAGTATGGGTGAAGAATCAGAGCGTGGCCAACGTCTTTTACACTTCAAACAAAACTCAGGTTCCAGATTACACCTTTAGTTACTTATCTCCTCCAGACTGGAGCTGACGTGTGCCCGCTGCAAATGTCCCCCCCCACCCCCCCGACTCCCCTGTCCGCGACTCCAGCCAGTGGATGTCACACACCAGTGCCTCTTCAGTTGTCCCAAAACCTATGATAGCACCAGCTTCCCTCTGAACCGCTCCGTTTTGTCGCTGCGAGACGTGGTGGCTCTGAGAGGGGGGGGGGGGCGGAGGCGGTCACATCGCAGCAGCAGGGTCATTTCAGCAGCAGATCAAAAGCAGCCACAGCTGTGGAGGGGACACACGTGTGGTCTCAGCCCAAAGACAGGAATCTCTGGGACTCTCTGCAGCTATGTCTGAAGGGAGACAGGCTGCTGCGATATGTTAAGGCCAAGAAATATGACACAAAAACTCAACTTGCGTTTAGTTCACATATATTTCATTCGGAAAGAAATGTAGCCTAAGTAAACCCGGCCTGTCAGCTGATAATCCTCCTCCAACCTCAGGATCATCAGCAGGACTTTATCTTGGCACCTTTAGAGGCGGTGATTAACAAGTGAGGAGGTCCTCTGAAGATATCCAAGATGATGGTCTAATCTGACCATCTGTTTCTTATCAACTCTCCTTTATTTTTCAAATTTGCAAATTTATTTGTCTAAGGGATCCTGGCCCTGAAAGCAGCAGGCGTCAATCCTCTCTGTGGGGGAATGAAGAAGAGGTGGGACCCTCCAGGTGTGTGTGAGTGTCTGTGTGTGGGAAGCTTCATCTTGTTGAGCATCTACAAAAACTCTTTTTTTTTTTTTTTACTTTTCCAATCAGTGCTTATCTTGGTCTACATTCTTGAAATAATAAACTTGTCATCTTTTTAATGCAGGATAGCAAATTAGTTGTAAGGATAAGTCAAACTCTGCATTTTTTACTTGTTGTATGGCGATGTGCCTGAACAGAGTCTGTCAAGCCGGACTCCCATCAGCAGGCCCAATAACCGGTCACTCACTGCAGGGTGATAAACTGTGCTCCAGAAAGCCTTTTCTCTCATCACACGTATTTGTCCAAACCACTGGAACAATCCACAGCAGAGATTGAGGTATCAACTGCTTGTTATCACCACTAAGATGCCCATTTTTGACTAATTGGTCAGATTAAAACTGTAGGGAAATACTGTCCAGCTCTGCTCGGACATGTCGACTCTTCGTTTCTTGCCTGGTTTGGAATCTGAGTCCAGTTCAGCCAACAGCTGGACAGCTGCGGACGGACGTGCTGCACGCGACTAAATGGAGCGATTCGTTCCCATATCTTTGTGTGCTATTTAACGATCTTTGTGTGGCTTTTTCTGTTGCTAAAGAGCAACTCTGATGAGGTTTAAAGAAAGAAAGAATGCATGCACAATGACATTTAATGCCCTTTTGCAGCCGTCCAAACAATTTATTCCTGATGAGATCAAATCACAGGACAGGCCGATGGGCATGTTAACCAGCACACCAGCCAAAAGAAGTTTGGAAGCCAAGACGGTTTCCTTTTTCCAAGCCTGTGTGTCTGCTCCAGCTTTTTAAATGCAAATTAAACCGCAGACCTGAGAATTCGATTCGCACACACTCCCCTCCAAAACTGGCACTGATATGAATCGTATCCCTCAAAAGAAAGAAAGAAAACACATGCGAATCATTACTAAATTAATTAAGCTGCCATCTCAGAAATACTTTCTCAAAACCTGAACAGTTTTCTCGTTTTTTCCACGGTTTCAGTGAGAAGTGGCACAAAAACTCAGCCGCGTGCAAGAAGAGACGAAATGTGGCGCAACTGGCGCTTTGCGCGTTTAACAGCCTCTTAACAGATGTGATTGTGATGGAAAACATGGAGCTGAAATGTCCGGACCTGTTCCAGGACCAGGGCTGCCCTGTCTAACGAAATCACTGGGGCAATAAAACAAGTTTGAGAAGTACATTAACCTGGCGATTTAACGATAAGGTTTACAGAAGGAGAAAAAGGGAAAGTGACGCAGGGTGTGGCGCGATGTCATTTACCCCCCTTTAACGATTGTATTGATGCACTCAAAGTCGTGATTATATCCTTCAGCTCATTGTTTTATTGCAATTATTATTTCTCCTATAAATTAGATAGCATCGTTGTTAAATGTTAGGTTTCGTATCTATTCAATCGGTAAATCTGCAGTTTCGCTCTGACTTTACTGTAATAAAGTTTGGGCCCGCGCATCTACGGGGGGAATGCGCCGGGGCTCCTCGTCCTTTGGCCAGAGGGATGGGCTGCGCCAGAAGAGGTGAGAGAGGGGAGGAGGGGAAGAGCTGATAGATGTTTCACTGTGGGGGGAAAGAGGGGAGGGGGAGGTGGCGCGGGGGTCGTCCTGGGAGGGAACCAGGGGTGTAGAGGACCGAGTTTAAAAAGGCAGACGGCGGCAGCAGTCACTCACTCTCATTTGTCCTCCACCTCAGCAGCAGCCGCGCATGCAGCTCCTGTGATCCACTGACTTTTGTTTGTTTGCCTCTGGGAACTGTACAGGACCATTTCCGTGAAGGATTTTCCAAAAACCCCTGCAGCATGGAAACCACCACTGGGGAATATATGGACGGTTATGACTATTATGAAGACAATGAAACTGCCTGCGACTACTCTGAGTGGGAGCCCTCCTACTCCCTCATCCCGGTGCTCTACATGCTCATCTTCATCCTGGGCCTGTCAGGTAACGGCGTAGTCATCTTCACAGTGTGGAGATCCAAATCCAAGCGCCGTGCTGCAGATGTCTACATAGGCAACTTGGCCCTGGCCGACCTGACTTTTGTTGTTACCCTGCCTCTGTGGGCTGTGTACACGGCTCTGGGCTACCACTGGCCGTTTGGGGTGGCTCTGTGCAAGATAAGCAGCTATGTTGTTCTGGTCAACATGTATGCCAGTGTTTTCTGCCTCACCTGCCTCAGCTTTGACCGCTACTTGGCCATTGTGCACTCCCTGTCCAGCAGCAGGCTGCGCTCTAGAGGCACCATGCTGGCCTCCCTGGGTGCAATTTGGTTTCTGTCGGGCCTCCTGGCGGTGCCCACGCTGCTCTTCCGCACCACCGTGAACGACCTGAACAGCAACCGGACCACCTGCGCCATGGACTTCAGCCTGGTGACCATAAACCAGAAGCACGACTACCTGTGGATCGCAGGGCTCAGCCTGTCCTCCTCTGCCTTGGGTTTTCTCCTTCCCTTCTTGGCCATGACCATCTTCTACTGTTTCATCGGCTGCACCGTCACCCGCCACTTCAACAACCTGCGTAAGGAGGACCAGAAGAAAAAGCGGCTGCTGAAGATCATCACCACCTTGGTGGTGGTGTTTGCCATCTGCTGGACTCCCTTCCATGTGCTGAAGAGCATGGACGCCCTGTCCTACCTGAACCTGGCTCCGAGCTCCTGCGGCTTCCTGCGCTTCCTCCTGCTGGCTCACCCCTACGCTACCTGCTTGGCCTACGTCAACAGCTGCCTCAACCCATTCCTGTACGCCTTCTTCGACCTGCGCTTTCGTTCGCAGTGCCTGTGCCTGCTCAACCTGAAGAAGGCCATGCATGGTCAGATGAGCTCCATGTCGTCCACCCTCAGCGCCCAGACTCAGAAGTCAGAGGTTCAGTCTCTGGCCACCAAGGTTTAGAGAGCTGGGGGAGCCGTGAAGCAGGGCTGCAGGACAGTCCCAGCTCTAACCTCTGGAACACTTGTAAAAATACAGACCTTATGTGTCCATTGTTTAAAGCTGGTAAGATGTGATGATGAACTTTGACCCGTCACTGCCAACTGTTACGAATTCCATTGTGTGTCCCTCCTATTCCACAGCAAGAGGCGAAAGCTCTGTATTTTGTGTGAACTTGGGAAGCTGGAGCCAGCAGGCTGAGCTCTTTTGCTGCTTTTGTCCTCAAATTCTCAGAATAAAAAACCCATATATATTTTTTTGTCTTTTCTCCACAGGAGCTTTCTTTTATATCATGAAAGATGACAGAGACATGAACTGAATTGCATAGGAATCTTTTTACACTGGATGAAACATAAAAGCTATACAGTATTTTCATACCATTTTGAGACCTGTTGCTGTTTTGCTCTTTAAGCACTTGCTAGGAGTGGATGAGCGGGGATTTCAAACAAAGCTATGTCCTCTTATGAGACTGATGTTTGTGACGGTAGAGGCCTGGGCTGCGGGAGGGAGGGAGCAAGGTGTAAGAGGAGAAAAGGTGTTGTGGCTTAATTATATAGTTTGTGGAGAAGAGACGGGGGCAGAAAGGCAGATGGCAGCTGACAAATGTTTTTGAGGAACAGGAGTGGGGTGGGGCGGGATGGGGGGGCTTTGTGATGTGTCCGCAGCACTAAAGGGGACAAAGGAACCTTATAAATGTTCCACACTGATGTATATCTTTATTTTTGGACTTCACTGTAACTAACTACTGTATTAAAGATGTGTATTATAAACATTTTTCTGTGTGTGTGTGTTGGAGTGTGTGTAAACTGATGTTTCTCTGATAGGAGGAGAAGAGAAAGTTCTGATACCAAATGTAAATGTTTATCCTAGAGCTCCACATCAGTTTCATTACACCTTCCTGTTATTTCAGTGTTAAGTATCTCCAAAGGGTTGGAGCTTTGTCATGAATAGCTTTAGCATAGGGTTTACACCCTCAGACTAATAGATCTCTAATCTCTATTGATTCACAGCCTCTATCCAGACTGTAACCGGATTATGCAAAGTACAAGCCTTCCTGAGGGTGTGTATTCAGTACTCAGTCATGACTTCCAAACCTGTGGTTTAAGTATTTGATGACAGTCCTGTGGGCTGCGGTCAAAGGTTTTCAAACTTGAAACACTATTTTTAAAAGTCATGCCTATATCCTAGTCCTGTTTGAAGAAAGTGAAGAAAAAAGAAAAAAATTGTAACAATCTTCAGCACAGTAACTAGAAGTCCCAGCATCTACTGTAACATCTAACATCAACATCTTCAATAATAGACTCCTTACAAATGGGTGACTCTTCTCAGAGGTCCTTCAGTTTGATAGTAATGAATTCAGTTTAACATAATCACTGTTTAGGAGATGGTGGCAGCAGCGGGAAAGCAGGGCTCTAATCTTGCCAGAAGTTGGGCCACAGAACAAGTCAATATTTGTCCCCTGCTGACAAGGGATTGCAGTTAGGACGGTTGTTGGGTTGCAGGGGCAGAGTTTGAGAGAAAGGATGGGGAAGGTAGGAGGGGGGGGGGGGGGCATTGCAGATGCCTCAACGCACGGAGCAACAAGAAAAGAGAAATTGTGACTGAGGTGAGGAAATACTGGAATAGCACAGCCGTCCGCGGTCATCTTGCACCGGCGCTCTAAAGTAGCAACATGTGTGAGGCAGTGAAAATGCGAGGCCTCATGATTCAACGTGTCTTTTTGTGTGACAGATCATATGTTCCTTATTCTCCATCCTGGCAAAACAGAGCAGATTTAGGCTTACAGTGCCGAGCAGGATGGTTATTGTGATGGATGTGGGGGCCTCGTTGTGTTCACATGCACAGGCAGAAACGGGTTTTCCTCAAATACCCACTTACTCTTCATTAAAAACAAGAGGACGTTTATATGTGGAGCAGCCTAAGTAATGAAATCCAGAAGACAGACTTGCTCTGCGTTGTTAAACAGTCGAACAGTAACGGGACAAATCGACATCCATCTCCATTACTCAGAAGATATGATCATGATAAGTCAGCATACGCGGGGAGGAGCTAATCATGCATGTTGAGCTGGCCAGACATGTTGTTATTGAGATGAGCATGCCTGACAGCTTGTCTGATGCTGTTAGCCGTCAAATTCACTTTGGGACAACTCACCCAGAATACTATCCAACCAAAGCGGCGACTCTACTTGGGGGGACACGGCTAATGCAAAAACAACAGTTGTGTTAGGCCCCAGGATGCACGTAAAATGTTGTCGGGGCTCGTGTGTGGCCGGCCGGGCCTGCTGCTCCCCCACTGCTGCTTATGGGAGCTCCACCAATGAAATCCACTGGCTCCTGACAATCAAATGTAGTTTTCCCGGCCAGAGGAGTGGAACTTGAAAGTTTGCTTTTGTTAAACTAGTTTTGTCAGTCTTTTGCAAGCTGTAGACACAACAACACAGTGTGTGACTCAGGGGCCGGTTGATTTAATAACACAAATGTGAGATGCATGAGTTTAATCAGTTTATCCTTACTGCTTTTATTGTTTTGCACCTTGTCCTTACGTACAAAATCAAGTGAGGACTTTGATCTTTAAAAAGGATTTGAAATCCTGAGCTTAATCTCATTTTGGTGGATGAGTATGTGTGCATTTCTGTTCAGGTCCGTCTGGAGTTCTTGCTGTAACATAATCAGACGGTGGGATTATTCAGCTGCTGGCTGTCTTCACGTTTCTGGCAATAAGCGACTCTTTAAAAATCACCAGGTTGGAATCCTTTCATCCGACTGGTAACACCACCAGTCAGCACGGCCGAAATTGAGGCGTAAACGCATCCAAACGATCCACACAGGTGCCCGCCGCTGAGTGCTGTCATCAGTGTCGGCCGCCGCACCCAAATGGGACATCTGAACCAAAACACAACTGCTCCCCTCAGATCTCCCTGCTGTTCAATCCCACCCAGGCAGCAACAAATGCACCCTATGCGTGTGAGTGCGCACACGTGTGTGTCATGCCCACAAGTAAACAGAGACCTGACACATTCCTTGTGCTGTCTGTGCCAACCCGACTTTCTCTGCAGCTTTCATCCACCTGTCGTCAGACGTTTACACACACACAAGACAAACCAACACATTTGTTCAGGGAGACACATTACAGAAAACGGCAAATCCAAGAACGGATGTGACCATTATCACAGAGCAGGATCTGGAAAACTGAATGAGTGGCTCTCTTTTTGTCTTTCTGTCTGTCCTACCTGTGTATTTCTGCGTACCAAAAGTCTCACAACATAACACTTACCGGGCCTTCTGGAGGTCTCAGGGAAGGCTGTGGACTGCATTTGCAAATGGAACTGTGAATACAAATAAGCCAATTAAAGGTTGATGTAAAACCTGCACTCATTTAAACATTGCCAGACTCTCAGTGTCATCATTCCAAAATCTTTAAGTCGTTTAAAAAACATTTGTGCTGCGAAATGAGCTTTTCTTTCTTTATATGCATATATCCCACAGAGAAAGTTAGAAAAGTGGCATGTCTTGTATGTTTTCTCACACAGTCAACAGCAGCTTTATTTCAGCCCAGCGCCTCAGTCATTCATTTCATCGCCTCATGTATGTTCACAGCTCTTTTTGATAACATTATCTATTTTAGTTATTTATTGTCAGATCTGAAGTCAAATCTGTCTGTTCAGCTAAAAATGTGAATCAATTTTCTGTTAGCTTAGCTTGGCAAAGAGACTGGGGGCATGGTCAAACTTATATCCTTTTGTTTGACTTGAGATTTCTATAAATATTCAGTTTGCACTTTATTAATTTGAAGGCGCATGCCTTTATGCACACCTTGTACAGCCCCCTCATTGCCGATGAGGATGGTTGTTTAAGTCAACAAATGGTGAATCAATACAGATTAGATATGAGGAACTTTGTTGAGTGACTGACTGCTTTGTGATGAGAAAACTGAGCAGAGGATTAAGACTTCTACTGTACCGTTAATAACACGAAGTGTCTGAGTCTGAGAATGAGGCCGGGACTAGTCTAGACAGCAGAGCCTCTGATCCACCAAAACAAGTCAGTCCACCCCGATGCAGAAACCTGGAAAGTAGCGGTTTTCTTTTGCCAAAACTGTCCTCCCTCCCCCCATCCCCTCCCACTAATACCATGTTTCAATACTTGTTTACAGCATACATACCTTTGAATCTGTCTTCCCAGCTTCACTTATATAACACCTCCCAGCTGCTTCCAAGATTTAAGATCCTTTCAAAGATAAACCCATTGCCAATAACAGCACATTACGCACCTATCACTCATAGAAGATGACGCTGATTATTTGTCACAGTTTTAATGCAAATACACTCTGACTAGTGATGCAAAAGCTTTAGAAAGTACGATAGAGTTTGTTCAAGGACCTTTGTTGTCTTTTTCTTGCCCAGAAATATTGAATCAAATCCCTTATTTTCCCCACATGTGTTGCCCCCCACTTATCTTAACATCAATTTCACTCAGCATGGATGTGTGCTGCAGTATAAACTGATACAACATAGACCTCGAGAACAGAGTGAGATCACAGGAAATCTTATCAACAGTGACTTCAAAATAGTGCAATATAACAGGTCTAATCATGCCCCTCACAAGAAGCCTGTTGAGCTGCAATACACACCAATACAGCCTGCAGTCTCCCTCCTCAGCCTCTCCTCCGCATGACGACTGTAAATTGCTACCACGTTTGGGATCAACATTAAAATCAGCTTGTCTGAGTAATCTGTCCAGTTGAACATGGAAGTGGCCCCTGACTGTAATTGTCTGGACCTTGAGAACGAGACCCAAAACAATACGGCATGAGCATGAGCTAAGTGTTTTCGTGCTGGTTCTGTTATCTTTTGGCACGTTTAAAGAGGTGACGTGGAGATCATGGCTTTCAAACGGGTCTCCTCCAATACCGCCTCCTTGTCATGAGTGCTTATTGTTTCTAGCGTCACTGTGCTCCACACTCATTTCTGCACTTGCCGTCTAAATTGTGTGACCTGTTGATGAATATTTGGAGGGGGGAAAATGGGTGCTTTTGCATACTAATCAGGCCTGCTGCTGCTGGATATCGTTAGGCGAGAGAGGCCGCTTCCGTGGGCGGCTGGGCTTGGCCAGACCTGAATGTGCAGTGCGGACCCTCTCCCCCTCCGGATATGGGTGCTCAGGGCCCATCATGGCTGAGACACAAAGATCCTCTTCACAACCTTCTCTATCCCAGCCATTGTGAGTGGCCTGTCCAGGGCACATGGCTTCTGTGGCTGATTTGAGGCTAAATACATCTCCTGTCACAGGCTGGTCAGAGTGCCAGTTCAGCTGCTGAAAGTGCTCAGGTGTTTGGGCTTGCTGCAAAAATAAAGTTATAATATTAAATAATTGGACCTCACAAAAGATGCAAAAACCATACGTGAAAACTTAAAGGGTTTTGTGCATTCTGTTTTCAGCCCTCTTTTTCAACACAATTAGCTTTTTTTTGGCATATGCAGAGTATTAACCGTACCCCTCTTAGGTTATGTGAGAGTATTGATTAATAAACATATACGTAATGTTGTCCACTTTTAAAATGAGTTCCTGAGTAGGTAGTCGAGACACTAGTCTTCTGCTGTTTGCCCACTGGGGAGCAGCAACACACCACCGATTCAAAGAAAGCTCCCCTGTGAATTTCAGAGCATTGAGCTCAGGAGTCGGTTAACTCAGCTTCGTCCCATTACTGCGCAGGTTGGTCCATAGTCGGTACATATTTCAACCAGTTTGAAAGGGTTATGTTTGCAGTATGGGAACAAATGATGAGACCAAATGCAGTAAATGTGAACACGTGCTTGAATCAGCAGGTTTGGTTTTATTTGATGTTTTCCACTTCAGGTCAAGAAGGCAGGAAACTTGTGAGTCCACATTAATGAACTCCTGCCATCTGTTGGTCATGATCTACAATTACCAGCTCAAATTGCTCTAGTGCCATTTGAAGGTGATTACATGGCAGGTCGGCAAATTTTCATCCCTTTTTTGAAGGAGAAAGGGGGTTTAGTTGTCATCATGAAGTTAACACTTTGATTAAAAGTTACTTAAGAGTGCCATTTCGGACATATAAGTACAGCTGACAAAGAGAATTTCTGTATATCAGTGTCCAGGGGGCTCCCAACAGGTGAAATTGTTTAATGAAAATGTTATAATGTCCTTAAACTATCATTTAAAATCATAGATATGAGTTACTAATGTAATAAGATAAGTAAGGAATGTTATGCCTTGAATGATACATGAGAACGAACATGCATCCTTAAAAATCTTCTAAACTAATATCTGCAACAAAAAAACAGATAATGTCTTACAGACATTTCTTTTCAAACCTTTTCAAACCTTTGACAAAATATTCATCAGGATAGACATATATTGTAGACTTAAAACTAATCATACCTACCATCAAACTGCTGACCATGACATTGATTTTAAAGGAGCTAAATAAAGAAACAAATAAAAATATTTCTCTCAGATTTTCACAAAGCATTTTATTAATTCAATATTAACTTCAATTAACAAAACAATTATTTTACATAAACAGATTTTTTTTCCTCTACAGAGATGTGGCAGGTGGAGTTAAAATTAGCGGTGACCAAGATCTTTAACCAACTCCTGTCTCAGATGAAGTCAGTTCCTGGTTTTAGGCTTTTCCTGGGTGGGTTTTTTTCCCGTCTGCAGCGGGGGGTGAGCTGGGGGGAGAGGATGGCGGCTCTGGTAAGGCTTGTTGTCCGGTAAGGAGAGCACCTGATCTCTAGGCAGGAATTGGGAGCTTCGGGCCCGCGGTTCAGATTTGGCTCGTAGGCCGGTGACGAAAGGAGCGGGGGACCTGGAAATGATGGTAGTCATGGTCCGGGTCAGGAGCCTTTTTCTTCTGCAGGTCAGAGAAGGGGCTGCTGGGGGCTTCTGCTTGTTGTCCGCGGCGACGCCGTCCGCATGCTCTTTTGAAGTGGTCCGCTGGAGCATGGGGGGTTGGCAGCTTTGCGTCTTACACAGCAAGTCCTTCACGGCTTGGTCTGTGTAGACCTTCATTTCCTCCCGTAGGAGAGAACTCTGAACCTCAAACTCTTCCTTTAAGGCTTTTTTACAAGCCTCAAGCTTTTCCTCAAAAATAGCGCATAAAGCCTCAGATTTCAGATCTGCCTCGTCTTTTCTCTCATTGGCCTGGGTTTTCTGTTCCTGCCCTGCGCTGACCTCTTTGGCCTGACCCTCACTGGTCAGCTCGGCCTCTCTGGCTTTGACTTTCTGCACGAGCTCTAGCATGCTGCCCTTTGGGGCTCTCAGATCCGCTTGTGATCTGATCTGGTTACGTACCTGCTGAAAAACAGACTGCACCCTGGGGCGAGCCTCCTTTCCCGTGGCGCCGCAGTCGTCTGAACCCTCATGGTGTTGGGGGGCAGAGGAGATTTGCTCCTCAGCCTCTGCTGCAGCTTTGTCTTGTTGTTTCCCGTTCGCCGGAGTTTCTGTTCTCCTTTCAGAGGGTTCTTCGCTCATGTTTAGCTCTCGTCCTGGCGGCTGTTTGGCTCATTTGAAAAGAGCTACTACGGTTATAGGAAGGCCTGGTGTGGGAAGCACCCAGGTGACTGGCCCGTATTCCCTCAGCTGCCTAATACCTGGGGAGTTCGATCTACAGTCGGGTGTGTGACAGCATGATGACATTGAATGAAACAGTGGTGGGAAAACAATGCAAAGTAAAACATTAAAAGAATCAAATGTACTCACTTGCACGAATGCTGAATTACAAAACAAACAACTATCATAATGACACACTGATACACACACACATATCTATATAGATATATGTCCACGTCCTTTATGAAGCTAAACAAAATCAGTTATTCAGTGGTACTTAAAGATGATCTCATATAGGTGTAAAGCGCAGGTGGGATCATTTCAGCACGCTGAATTCCTTGTTGTGCATGTGTGTAGGTGCATCCAATGACAACAACGAGTAGCATGGTAACAGCGTGAAAAACAAAGCCCTTCAGGGACAGTGGAAGTGGGGGCTCTGAGGGGAGGGCTGCTGCTCTCACCGGCGGTTGAAAACCTGAAACCTGGTAAAAATGTTTAAGAAAAAGACCTTTAACAGAACAAACAAGACTGCTTTTTTCTTGAGGACACGCCTGAATATTTTTAAAGTCAACAAGAATATTTTTTATGGACTGAACAATTCATTTCAAAAGAAATTGCACATCTTCGGTTGGCGAGCACACATTCGACTAGAATCAGCTTTATTGTGATGTACAAACTACATCTTTCTTCAGTCAAAGAATATTCTAAATAAAAGCCGTTTCTTTTCTCAAATCTTTGCTTTGGGACTTTTTTCATCCTTTGAGGACGGTTGAAGGCGTACAAAGACATTTTTCATTTGGACAACTGTCATATATTTATCCTTCATTAAATTTATCAGTTGTTTGTGTTTCTTTATCTCTGTTTAATTCATCCCATGCGTTTCATTCTAAACTAAATGTTCTAAAATTATCTTTGAAGTAATTTGAGGAAAGAATGTTTGGGACTTAAAGATCAGTCTTTTGGGTATGAGGTAACTTTCTTCTAACCCAAAGTTATTGGCAGTAATTCTGATTTGGCATGGACAAACGTTTCCATAACACTGAAAACACAACTAAAGTTGATACCAAATCAATGAGGAAAACACAACACAGGAACCAACAGTCTTTCCTTTAGTTGAAAAGTAAATAATCTGTTAGATGCAAACAGCCTTATAAGTGTGCTGTAATTCCACTTTAATGATACGTTCATCAACAGGAATTGCTTAAGCATATTCAAAGAATATTACATTAAAGGAGAATTTGAAAGTTCAACAGAATGTGATTCAATGCACACAATCAGACCCACATCATATATTCTACTTGTATACTACACAATATACTCATTTTCACTTTTGCATTCTATATAAAGCAAAAATGGGCTTTAAAACAGATATAAAAAGCATTCAGTTTAACCAATGGCCCACTTCATAACAGTTCTGGATTTGCAAATGAAATCTACAGTATAAGAGGCATGCTAGCAGATTCATTATAGTCTGAAACAGGCCACTTCGTATTTAATTACTTGAACTGCTGATAAATAAAAGTGAATACAATATTTTTGATCACAGAGTTGTTTTCCGGTTATGTTTTCCTGTTCCATACTTGAAACGGGATTGATGGGATGGGGGTATTTCAAGGCACGTGAGGGTTCACTCAGCCTCAACCAAGAGAGCCAATGAGAGTCCAGCATGAGCGAACCACCTCTTGCCACTAAACACTAACATATGGGCCCAGCATTTTTCTAGAAAAGACAAGCTGTAACCCTAAACCTCTACATTTCCAATTTTGCATCTTTTTGAGGAGATATTGAAGATTTATAAATAAAGTCATAACATAGACCCATCACAATGTATAATCAATCCAATTCAAAATGATGGTTATTTGAATTTTCCCTGAGAAAGTTTAAAGTAACACTAAGTCTCTAAACAGATGCATTTTGTGATAAGCACTAATTCTAAACATCAAAAGAAAAAGTAACACACTGACAGTGAGGAAAGGGAAGCTCGATTAACCTGTGATGGTCTGACATGTTTTGCATGTAATCATTGTATAACAAGAAACGTGCACTGAGCATCGATACTTTCTGCTCCACCAATACCAGCTCCTCGTTGGTGGGAGTGGATTTGCAATCTTTCTGCTCAGCTTTTAAATTCTGGGGTGTCGGAGCACTCCATTCTGACAGTCAGGTGAGCTGACACGGAGCAAAGATGGTGAGTTAGGACTAATACTTCTGGATATCATCTCATATTTTGGCCTTACACACACAGATTGTTTTTGTGTCTCATTTCGTCCGTTTTCCTTTTCTTTCCCTGTAGACGACATACACAGACAAAGGAGAGAAGGTAAGGAGCTGATTTTTGTCTGTATCAAGCAGATAATTGTGTGACAGATTGCTTCAGCATTGAAAATGAATATTTCTGACTTACTAGAAATTCTTGTACCAGTGATTTTCCTTCTTTGTTTTTGTCTTTGTTCTGAAGCATGATCAGGGCAAGTTCCTCTGCTTTGACCATTTAACTTTCTGGGTTGGAAATGCAAAGCAGGTGAGTTCATTTATTAGTGCTGGCCATTCAGGTTCTGAGTTTTAATTTTCAGAGTTCTGGGTGACTTTTACTGATGAATGCTGTTCTCTGGATGGGTGGACAGGACACAGGGCTTATGACCAGGAGATGGCGCCAGCACACAGATTAAAAAGCCTACCTGTTGCACTTTTATTAAACTACCGCTGATTGTTTAATGGTGTTCCCAACAGGCTGCATCTTATTACTGTAACAAGCTGGGCTTCGAGCCACTGGCTTACCGAGGCTTGGAGACAGGCAGTCGAGAAGTCGTGTCCCATGCAGTCAAACAAGGAAAGGTAAGGAGCCTTTTGGGACCCAGAGCTGGAAATCAGCACAGCTCACTTGAGAAATAAGATGCAGAAATGTACCATTTTTCCCAAATGAAACTAAACATGCACCACAAACACGGATTTGTGCTTGTTTAACTGGTGTTATGGGTAGTTTTTCTCACCCAAAAGAGTTCCAACTAATCACAGCTTTCTGTCATTAAACAGTTTTGTTTGTTGAGGTATAACTACCACTCCGCACTGAAGTGTTGTAAAATAACATAGAGGGAAGATTTTACTCCTATTTTTCATTGTTTTCCACAGATCATCTATGTGTTCTCATCTTCCCTCAATCCTGGAAACAAAGGTACAATTCTCGTCAGGAGCTTCAGTCCTAACATGATAATGGCATGTCCTAAACATTTCACAATACATTAAACAGGGCATTTGATTAAGATTTGATTTGATTTTCAGAGCTGTCGCATTGAAAATAACTTTTTACTTTAATCTGTAAATATATTGTGATAACATAACATAACAGAGCATGCCAGACACACATTAGAAGTTTAAACCATTTCAATCTGACTGTGTGGCTAAATAAAAGTGTGTTTTTCCAGAGATGGGAGACCACCTGGTGAAGCATGGGGATGGGGTCAAAGACATCGCCTTCACAGTAGAGGACTGTGACTACCTTGTTCAGGTAATGCTACAGGTCTCAACACACATCTGATGTTTTGAGGTTCAAATAAATGAAGACAGTTAAATGTTTTCGTTCTGGTGATTTGTGACCCGCTCACAGAAAGCCCGGGAGAGAGGGGCACTTATCATAAAAGAGCCCCACACTCTGGAGGACAAGCATGGAAAAGTCAGGCTCGCTGTGCTTCAGACGGTACGGAACATAGTGTGAACTTATGCTGTGCGTATTATGACGAGTCTGACTCTTCCAAAATAACAGAGTTGTGGTTTTGCTTTTTGTGTGCTCCAGTACGGTGACACCACGCACACATTTGTGGAGAGGACAGGATACACTGGCTTGTTTCTGCCTGGTTTCCACCCGCCTCTTTTCAAGGACCCTTTCTTAGCTAAAATGTGAGCAAGCGTGTTGCTTTGCACGGTAACGACGACATGCACGTTTCTGAATAGCTGCTGAGTGTAATGTTTGTGGGTTTGCTCCCATTCCTCCATGCAGGCCCGAAGGAAAACTGAATTTCATTGATCACGTCGTGGGAAACCAACCGGATGATGAGATGGTTTCAGTGGTGGAATGGTAAGTCTCACATCTCGTTCTGGTCCAAACTCTGATAACAATGCAGCTGTTAAAGCCATTGTGTTGGGATGTGGTCTTCAGAGGTCCACGTCAGGGGGTGGATGGAAGGAGGAGTTAACAGGGTGTGGGATTCTTGCGTAACTTTTTTGGCACAAGTGGAGCATCAGCATGACTTTGCAGTTTTAAGAGGGGCACCAGAGGTTCTCCACATCTGGAACTTGTTTTCACTGCTCCATACTGAATGAGGGTTAAAAATGTGAAACAAGGCAGCTCTCTAAAAGAGCGATCTCATTGGTCAGTCTGTGAACAAGTGCTGAGACAGCAGCTAGGGGTTTTAATGAAGGGACAAACTCAGACACTCAGTTGGTCACAAGCACGACAGACATGAGTGGAAAAAACGTTGCACAAACATTTTTAAACATTTTTCAGAGCAGATTTTATCTCAACACAAAAGAGCTTTGTGGTGGATTTCTTTTGTTTTGAAGTAGCAGTGTGTACAAAAGTTGTGGTTTAAATTTAGGCCACTGCCGCTCTTCATCTCAGACCAGTTATGGTTCAACAGGTATCAGAGGAACCTTCTGTTTCACCGCTTCTGGTCAGTGGATGACAAGCAGCTTCAGACAGAATTCAGCGCCCTGCGCTCCATCGTGGTGGCAAACTACGAGGAGACTGTGAAGATGCCCATCAATGAACCTGCCATGGGAAAAAGGAAGTCTCAGATCCAGGCACGTGTTCGAAGCCTGATCCGATTCAAACTTAAAAGATTAGAACAGTTGAAAGGGGATGATATCTAAACATATTTTTAAATCTTTAGGAATATGTGGAGTACTACGGTGGACCTGGAGTGCAGCACATTGCCATGAACACATCAGACATCATCACTGCTGTAAGACTAAAACAACAACACAGTTTTAGCCATTTAGGAGCTACTTTTTTCTAAAAAAAGACCTCTGATAAATCCTTTGTTTGCAGATTCGTAACTTAAAAGAGCGTGGAATGGAGTTTATGTCAGTTCCGGACACCTACTATGAGCAGCTGAGGGAGAATTTGAAATACTCCAAGGTCAAAATTTCTGAGGACCTGGATGTCCTACAGGTTAGATTTATGGCCACATTCAAACCAAACTGGAGTTTTCACATCATCTGGTTGTTAAGTTTGCGATTAATACAACTTTTCAGATAAATTATTGACAGACTATTTCCTGAATCTTCTGTCCTTGCTCAAAACCAGGAACTAAGGATCTTGATAGACTATGATGACAACGGCTATCTACTTCAGATCTTCACCAAGCCAGTCCAGGATCGCCCCACTGTGTTCCTGGAAGTCATTCAGAGACACAACCACCAGGTGAGAGCAGCAGTGGAGCCATAATCATAACAAGCACCCTATTTAGTGTTCTAAACAACTGAATGCAATCACATCTGTGCTGTTTAAGGCTTCAGTTTGCTTCATTCCACATTTTGTCTGCAGGGATTTGGTGCCGGAAACTTCAAGTCTCTTTTTGAGGCTATTGAATCAGACCAGCGTGCCAGAGGAAATCTGACTGTGCTGACGCCCAATGGAATTTCAAAGAACATATGAGCCCATCAACAGTTTCACTTTGCAGCTCCGGAAGCTTTCAGCCAGGACTTTCAACAAAAACTATACCATCTGCTCAGGATGTCGTATTGATGTCATTGTGATGTACACAAAAAAACGTAATGATCTTTATTTTTTTTTGCAGTTAACAAAGTCCTTTATGTTACCTTGGCATTACCAAGTGACAGTCATCACATGAGTTTGTATCAATTAGAAAAAACACTCCATAATGCATTTTTCCTTCTATAAACATTACCAAGACATTTTCTTTTTACAAGCTTGACTCAAGCAAAAAACAATTAAAGCTCTCATGAATGAAAACATGTAACCATCGTGTGGACGCTGACAAGCAATTAGTCCTGTTCCTGTTGGAATAAATACTTTGAATTTGCTGAGTGGTTGTTGATTGTTCATTCATAACTCCATCATATCAAAGGTTTTACAAAGTTTTACCTGAGATTTTCTAGGTGATATATTATTCATTCCGGATCCGGATTCTGCTGACAGACTAATGGTCTGTGCTCTGTCCCGTTCAGGTGTGGTTCACCTCATTTCATGAGCTCCTGTTAGGCCTCCACACAGATACTGACAGCAGAGTTTAGAACAGACAGCTGCACAGTACTTCAGCCCACCTTGACAGAATCGGGCCATTTTATTGGACATCAGTTCAGGGAACCTCTGCAACTATCTGTCCCACACAAACAAGGAATCTTTATGTCCTCAATGGGGAATTTGTAGTCATATGTAATCTCCTCATTGATGGCTATTGGCTGCCGGGAGTATATGACTATCTTCTTCTGGGAGTCCACAGTGATGATCTTTGCATAGCAGTTAGGCTGTAAGACAAAACCCCACCCATGCAAACCATTTAATAAAGAATTGTTAGTTTTCATAATTTATTGTTAGTTTTAATAATCCCTTTTACAACAGCAGTCTGTACTCACATTGCAACTGTGGTTGATGAACCGGGCCAAGTTCCCACATTTAGTGGCATCAATGATGGTGTCCTGATCAATGCGAAACAGGTAACTACTGCCAATGCCCTCCTCTTCGTATCTCTGCTCCCTCATGTCAGCGATGACCTGAGAGGAAACAAAACCAGATTCTTGAGTGTTGTTTATCATCAATACTACAGTATATGGAAACTACCAGGAACAACCAGCCAGCCCCAGAGGAACTACTCAGAGAAGGACTCAGGGGGAAAGCGTTGTGTTTAAAAGCATGACTGTTGTTTGCTGGCAGCTTTACCTGTCTGATGATTTGGCCCACATACTCAATCACCATTTCATCTGCTGCTATGGGCTCCATTGCGAACAAACCCCACTCATGAATGTGGCTGCGGCTGAAACGAATCCTCTTCTTTCGAAACTGATAACAAGAGATATTAAACCATTCAAATTGAATTATTTAGTATATTATAATCTGAGTCATTGTTTGTTTGTTTGTATTTTTTAACTTGTCACTTGCTTACCTTTAGCTGGTTGAACTTGACTAAGTCACTGTCACAGCTGAATGAGGACAGCAGGCGGCGCTGTTCAGACCTAAAGTCAGATCCGGCTCTCTGGGAAAAGGATTGCTGGGATGGGATGCATATTCCCTGCTAAAAAATATATATATATATTAGGCAGCTGACAATGATTCAAATACACAGAACATGGATACGGTCACATTTTCTGCTCTTCTCATCAGTACCTGAGGGTCTGTAGACGGCAGGTCGATTGCAGGCTTTGTGTTTCTGAGGTATTTCATTTTATCTTTCCAGCTGATTTTGTAGAACCCTTCTGTGCGAGCAGAGCCAGTTCTGTGAATTGGCAACCAGGAATTGTGTTCTTCAGTCCTTCCTGTTGGTACTTTAGTCAGTAAGCGGCAGTTAAAGAACTGAGACGCAGAATATGAGTCAGAGCCTAACATTGGTAAATCTAACTTGTGTAATGAATCTCTCTTCAACTGTTCCAGACATGGCATTAAATCATGGAATGACTTATGTCAGCAAAGCCAAATTAGAGAATAATTTTAATTTGCTTATTCTAAAATAATCAAATCACTTTTAATAAGATGATTATGCCCATACTGAATTTAAACCTTTGCTTTAAAGGATATGAGGGTGAGGTATCCACAGAGAGTCACTGAGCCAGCCAACGCCATCATCCCGCTCTTGCAGCCGTTCATAAATACACTGCAGAAGCCTGGCATCTTCTTCATCCAGGCCCTCCCTCCAAATGCTATGAAGGATTCTTTTCTCTTCACGGCGTGAACGCCACCTGTGAGGACGTCCGTTACAGGAGAGTGACCGGCTGCTTCTTTCAAGTGATCTGTGCCAAAGACGGGCTCTCTTTCTCCATTTCCTCCGCCTCAACACTTTTTTCTTCTGTAAAAATGTCTCCTCATCCAAAAGGCCTGGCATATTCTCAAGTCCCTGCAAGGGCCTCATTCTCACACCTGAGCTAATAGAGATAGCATCATCATCATCAGCGGCGTCAGAAGAGGATACAGAGAGGCCGTATGGCGAGGAGACAGTGTGGGGAGAGCCTCTGTGAAAAGCATTATCTGCCAGAGGAGGTAAGGTCACGTGCATTTTCCTCTTGTGGATTATGTCTCTTCGTGGTAAGATAATGTCTCTTCCAGGAGTCTTTGGGGGTGTGATATATGGATGGTTTGCTGGTGGCAGAACATGTGGTGGGCTGCTGAGAGGAGCACATGTGCCACAGTCCAGCATAGCATCTCTGCCAGGTGTTGGTGGAGCTCTCCCAGAGTTGTTATGCATCCATACACTTAGCTCCTCCTTACCAGGAGTTTTAGGCATCTCCTCATAAAATGGGTATGAGGCAGACAGGATTTCAGGGGGAGTGTGAGGAGGCTCACTGCTTGCTGGGGATTGAACTATGTTGGCTTTGTCTGAGCCTGCACGTACCAATTCTGCTATTATCCCCTTGCCTGGTGTTGGGGGGCGCTCCACATCATCCACTGCAGGAGAAGTTGGCTTGCTCTTTATAAGCATTTCTGGGTCACTATCCAACAAACAGCCAGTGGGAGTGGGAGGCCTCAGGCTGGTTATGTTCTCCACAGACTCTCCTGCCCATTCAGGGCTCCCGGTCACAATGGCAAGGCCTGGTTTCAAAAGAAGAACTTGTGAATATATTAAATTAAAAAACAAACTAATGTGATCTACAGGTCTACAACACACTGGATGAATTACCTAAAACTTCTGTAGTTGAAGTGAATTGTAGGTCCAGAGCTTCTCCAGGTTGAGGCTCCATAATACCCTCCAAATCATAAGTGTCTTGTTGACAGGGTGCCTGATTCTCCACTCGATCTCCGTGACACATTTCTAACCAGTCCTCCAGGTCTGGATCCAGATGAGCACCAGGGGTTAGAGGTGCTGAAGGGGTTGGAGGAGGCTCCAATTCCACTGAGTCTTCATCTGATGAAATCACAATATACTCTTCACTCCTGTTGCCCCTGTCCTCCCCCTCCATATCTTCATCTCCTGCACTGAGGTCAGTGGAGGAGTCCTCAAAGCTCTCAGAGTAGAATGAATCAGAGGAGTCCAAGTCCGATGAATATTCACTTTCTGCTGATGAGCTGCTTTCTGAAATAATCTCTGTGAAAAAGCAAATGCATTCATAAGTATGTAATGATTTAATAGTGTTCACCATCACAGTTATTTGAGCCTTTAACATACCGCAATCTGCATCTGGAGAGTGATGGATGACCTCTTGTAATTTTTCCTCTGCTAACATATTTTCTTCATCTTGGTGAATTTCGTCATCACCATGATCATCACTGCCAGACTAGTTACATAATCAGGAACCATTTTCAGACTCACTAAATCCAACATCACACTTTATAATATTATTAAACGCAACGCGATCAACAGCACAATGACATTTTGACCAAAGAACAACACTTTAACAACCTGTAATAACACTTTACCGTTTGGATATTTACCAGGGTCAGAGGGTCATCAACAAGTGGAACAACAGATTCCATCCGGTCTGACGTCAGGCTGTCATCTTTAAGTGTGTTTGTTTCTTTCTCCTTATCATCATCATCATCATCATCATCATCATCATCATCATCATCATCATCACTTTCGAGCTCCAATGGTCTTGTGTGCCTGCGTTTGGCTCTCTCAGATCTCACCACATCAGCACTCTGCCTCACCTCTGAAGAAAAAGAGTGACATCGATGTGCATACTAAAGTCTAAAATGGCCAGTCACTATGTCACAAAAAGATTTAAATACATCAAAAGCACTAACCAAGATTTTCGTGAGCTGAACCTAAATCGGATTCGATTTCTCCTGATCTTTTCTTTTTTACCTGCGTAACAAATATTGCATTAATGTAGGCACAGAGCAGTGAAATGTGTGTCATTCAGGGACATTTCTCACCTTGAAGGAAGGCAGTGGAGGTTTTTTTCCCAGTCCATGGATACGACTGAGGGGATTTGGGGGTTTGCTTCTTGCCCCCACTGTCCCACTTACTAAAGGAGAAACTTGTATCTTGAATAAATAAAACAGAAATATATCACTTCATGTGTTCAAAAACGGGATTTACAATAAATAATTTCACCATCATGAGAGAAAAAAATTAAAACAGCAAACCTTTGTTTTCTTTTCCTGACAGTCCCACCAGTCCTCAAAAGCCCTGAAAGCCACCCCTTCAATCATCCTACGTGTAATATCCTTTTTAATAATCATTTTCAGCTCGTCCATGAGAACTTCTAAAACCTTTTCTGCTGTGATCTTATGCGGGTTCTCCAGTGCAGGAGGGAAAGCTGGTGGTGGGACAAAGCGGTTAAAGATGGGAAAGGGGGGGGCAGGCCACGGTGGTCGGGGGAATGAAAACGATGGACTGCTGTGCCTTGGACAACCACCCTTATCTAAAGGGGCTGCCACGTGACTCTGTATCTGGTACATGTGCACAGCAGGTGGCACCATTAAAGGTGGAGGAGGCACCAGAAAGGTTGATGGGGGAAGAAGGGGTGGAGGAGGTGGAACAGGGGGAGGGGGGAGGGGGATGCCAACAGGTGGTATCCATCCCGGAGGTGGGATGGGGATGGTGCCGTTTGGCAGCCGAAGTGGGACTGGTGGAATGGAGGGGGGGAAGGGGGGGATGGTGAAACCTACTGGAGGAGCTGTGGGAGAAACACATTGACCGGTGCGACTGAAGGAAGGCGTGAATGGTGGTTTAGGAGGAGGGTTACTAGGTGGTGTCACAGCTTCAGACGGCCTTTTCTTTCCGAGCTCCTTTTCCTTATTTGCTGTATGATGCTCCTGGGCAAAAACACACAGTACAACAATATGTTTACATCAAGAAGAATGTAGTAACTTTCAAGTGTTGTAACTGTTAAAACAATGCTAGAGAAAAATATCAGTACACCGAGGACTTACCTTGGAGCATGATGCCTGAGAATTTTCTGCATCCTTTTCATAGTTTATGTCAATCCTCTCCTCACAATGTGTGAAGTCGGACGGAGCGGGAGACTGGGAGCTTCTTGTAAGAAACAAAATGGCTTGATTAGTTTCATCCTCTTCATTTTCTATGTGTGACGTCGGGCTAGCATTGTTGCAGGAGGACCGGTGGCTGTTTGGGGTGCAAAAAGGAGAATCATCTGGGAAGTGGCCTTGAAGATTGGAACAAGGTGAAGCTGGGCTGTCCTGAGAAAACTCATCGGGCTCCGAAGTTTTTTCATCATAATATGATGGGCGAGTAATCTGACTGTTTACTAGCAAACTTTCAATACGGGAGTCCAAACTCTCAGCTTCTGGCTGGGGGTCACTCCGCGGAACCTGGGATTTGAGTTGGAGGTCAGCTGGGAAATGATTGCTGGGGACGCCAAAGGAGTTGCAGTCCAGAAGTGAAGTAGAAGAACTCGAGATAACAATGTCTTTGGAAGCTTCAAAGGGGGATGAGATGTTATGAGGAGTCTCTTTATTGTCACTCCATGGTGAAAGCTGCTGACTTCTTGCTGGTATCTTAGCTGAAAAGTTATATGGAAGGTGTGGCTGGCAATGCTTGAGAAAGAAGTTAATATTTGAAACTCGTCTAGCTCTCCTGTGATGCCTTGAAGGTTTACGGCGACGGAACTGTTGTCTCAAAGGTTTGTGAACACTATAGGTAGAAGGCTCCACCTGGAGGATGGGAGTTGCCTGAAGACTGGAGTAGCAGGAGTCCTGGGAGAGGGGCGTCACAGACAAGCAGGGAGTGCGGGGGGTTCCCAGAGATTGCGGCGTAAGACCAAAGCTGCATGGAGTATCTTGCCAAATACTGGAGTAGGCAGTGTCCAGAGAGAGGGGTGTATTAATGCTGGCAGGGCTGCACACACTCCCCTGCCGCTGAGGCACTGAGCTCACCTGCAACAGGCGCAGAGTAAAAACAAAAGAAGACAAATGAATTGGTAACTTTATATATACAAATGGATGAATGTTCACAGCATTAACAATTTTGAAATGTTTACCAGCAAACTGTCAACTAGGCCTTGAAGAGTCTGCTCACTGCTCCCGACAGGTAATGTCCAGGGAGTATAAAGTCCACTAAAGAGGAGCTGAAGGTATTGAGCTCGATTTTTACCTGCAGAGTTAAATGTCAAGCTGAAACAAATATTTACACAATATTATGATACATTTATTAGTGTATAGACATCCTCCATTTACCTTTAGGATCAACCTCCACGTGAATAATGTTTCCCATTACAGATGTCTCATGGAGGTTCTGCACGGCAGCTTTCGCAGCCCTCACCGTATCAAACACAACTTTTGCTATCCCCAAGTGCTTCTTGTTCTTAGGACTGTAAAATACTTCCACTTCCTCCACATTTCCATATTTCTGGCACATGTCAGTCAGGAATGCCTCCCTCACATTGTCGTTCAACCTGGAAAAGGTCACTTCTTTGGGAGGAACGGGACCAACATACCATTCATCGACCTGTAGACACATGAAGGTAACGAAGGGCAGTTTGTTAGCATCTTAATTAATAAAAGGCTTATTATAATGTATTCAAAACAGTTACTTTGAATTTGGGAAGCAAAAGTTCAGTCTTGTTGGACTTGCTCCACAGGCGGCAGATGCGTGGATCTCTAACTGCGTCCACAGGAAATAGTCCTAAGTCTTCCACCTGTTAAGGAAAACCCTCTTTAACATAGAACATAAATACGTATGCATGTATGTATGTAAGAAGTAGTTTAGCTTTATAACAAGAAACGCTTGTAACAATTACATATATATATTTAGATATTTTACTCACAGGTATGTTAAAATATCGTCCATCAAAACGGCAAACTTTATACAATCCCTTTGTCAAAGCAGGGTCAATAATCAGCTTGCAACTTTTCCAGTCCTGTGGTGGCGTCTCTCTGTCTGCACTTTGTTTTTCGCTTTCCATTACATTCGTCAAAACCTGGAAAAACAAGAAAATAATGGCCATATGTTGTGATTTTGTGCCGCGCTACGTGCAGCCGTAAGCTAGCTGAAACGAGTCCCTCACTAGAGGTTAACACACCCCAACAGGTGATGGAGAGCATCACCTGTATCCTTATCTGAAAGATAACAGGCAGTCAAATAAAACATACCCAAATAGTCTAGGTTTGGTCCAACGAAACATTCAACGTCTCGCTTACCTGTATCGACGTTTTATCCTTTGAGGAGGCAACATTGTGGCAAAGTTGTTTATATTTTTGGGTGATTTTAGAGCTCGTCGCGCAGGTTGGATAATGGATCCATCCGCCAGCCGGTAGAAACGGAGTACAGACCTTACAACGGCGCCGAAGAACACCAAAGCTGTAGTTAAGGAAGTTCCCAGGTGACACGGAAAAAAATAGATCGCATCATCAAATTTTACATTTAAGATTCATAAAATTATAGTCTTTTCGGGACTTATAAATTATTCAATGACTAAATAAAAACGCACTTATCCTTTATGTGGTGCAATTATTTATGTTATGATTATAATATAACTATGAGCTAAAACAATATATTGAATTTGAATATACATTTTCTACGTTAAACATTATTTGGATTATAACCTTGTATATTTATATGTAGTACTGTACATATTTATATTAATAGCAAATATTTGATTATGCAATTTTCCAAGATTGAAGATTGAAAAGTTGTCTATATGCAATAAAAGATTTTATGTAAAACACAGTTAGGAATGCTATATTAATATTTCAAATTCGATGCTGTAAACATCAGGAAAGAGAGAGAGGCACATAGAGACCTAAAAGTATATTTACAGGTGTCCATTTTTCTGGTGAATTATATAAATAACTGATTAATTAGTGACAAGTGGGGGTGTTTTGATTAGGTATAAAACAAGGATTCACCAAATATTTCCAAACCATGAGAACCATACGTAGACTCTGCAGAAACACTGGAGAGTTTAAAGGGAAACAGAATTTGTGATGGTGTAAGGATTTGTCAATTCTTCTGTCATCTGCAAACAACAGAGGCAGATGTTGGAATTTCTGAGATTACCATCATCAAAGTTTTATGTCAGCAGAATACCACATGCAAGACTACAGTTTTCACAACTCACACCTGCTTGGATTTACACACTTGGCACATGCAGGACTGGCCACTCTGAATTCTGACCAGTCTTATTTTGAACATGTTGGGAGCACCCTGAGGATGAGAATCTGTCTGGGTTTTTAGCATCTTTAGTTCCAAAGTGATATGAAATAAAAAGAGTTTTAACCTAGTTTAAATATAGCTTAGACACAGAAGTCAGAACTGTTATGTTTCGTCTGTGAAGCTTTACTTTTTCTCTTTCCTCTCTAAAATGGCTGCCAGTTTCTGTTTATCTCTGGATAGTCTCCGCACTATATACACTGCAAGAGGAAGCAGTCAGTGAAGGCACCCTTCTCTATCTAAATTCAAATAAAGCAGATACCAGAAATTTTCAGGGTCGAGAGGAGGGCCATCTAGAAAAACTGGAAGTTGTTATTGTGGAGAGAGTGGCTGCTGGAAAACTTTGCAGCTGACAGTTTATTCAGACTTTTTTCATCAGGAAGAACGGACAGTAAGGCTTTATCAAACAAAAGTGGTAGGCAAAAGTCCTACCATTGTGCTACCATTCCTCAACAGCACAGGAAAAGGGAACCACAAACCCACATCATCTTCCCTCAACCCAACAAAATCTGGTTAAGAAACTGGTTAAAAAAATGTATACGCCGAACAGTGTAATAGAATTAGAATACAAACTATTTTTTTCTGCATGGCTTTGAGGCATTCTCATGCCTGACATTGGTGGTTCACTAAAAACCACATTTGTGGTTTTCAATTTCATGCTGCAGCCGGACATACTATTTTTGTGAGATTACCATGTTTTTGTGTTTGTTCCTCTTTTAATTTCCAGCCATATCTACATGAACAGAAGCTGATGTTGGAATTTTCACAGTACACAGCCACATGTTTGTTCATGCTCATGTCATCTTTCTCAGACCGATAAACTCAAACATAAGCAACAGTAACAACATAGCATTTATTTAAAAGCTACCCAAACCGTGTTTTGGCACATAGTGGTATACACTGGATTAAATAAATAGAACAAAAAATCAACCAGAGCAACATTACTAGCATTGTTCTTTTTTTAACAGTCTACGTAAATGAACATTTTTGGCATCCACATTTGTTGAATCTAGACGAAGTAATGGCAATGTTATTAAATGTAAGCTTTCAAGTACTCGTGTGTGTTTTTTATATCGCTGTAAGTACCAAAAGATATCTAGTGAGGACAGACTGAATCCAAATAGAGCTTCCTCTTGTTCCTACCCAGCTCGGCTCAACTTGTTTTTTTCCATCCTTCATCAGGGGCTTGCTGCATCCTAAAAGTTATGATCTCTAGACCTACTTGGATGAAGTTCAAAGGCTGATTTATGTTGCCAGGAGACTCCAGGTCATATATGATATGAAGTTAATATGAAAGGTGATATGAAATTGAACTAAACTGAGCTGTGTTCCTTTCATGTTCCGTGACAACTTATTTATATATTCAAAACATCCTCTTACCAGATGGTTTACTACCCCATGTACTAGCCTTATAATGTACACACAGTGGTCAAACCCAATTCAAATAATTCAACTATGTGCCTCAGGCCATGAAAGAGCAAAAACTATGTTCCACAATCATCCACAACTTAACGTGTAACTAAGCTAACACATGTAAACTACTGTATGAAAAGTGCAAAACCTCAAAACAATACTTTCAATACAGTCATGCTTCAAAAGAATGATTCAATAACACTTTCTCCAAACCCCACAACCTTTGGTGAGTTTGCAGGATACGTGACTTTGAAAAGTGGAGTGTATTCCAGCATACTGATACTCCTTTACAGGAGGGTCAAAGTATTTTTGTACTCAGAGAGGCTTAAAATATTGTCGTAACAAATTCATTGATGCCTTTTTATGAGAGCAGCAAAACTGATCATAGAAAAGGTGTCAGACTAACATTTACTTTACCGCTGTTCTTTTGCCTTCTACTTCCTGAAAGCCGTGTTGCATTTTAACCTTGATTAGTTTCACAGAAGACTTTGAATTTCCTTGGTAAAAAATTATTTTGCCTCATAATATCGACTTTTGATGGCCTTCAGAAATAGAAAATAGCAACATGTAAGACCAATTATAATCGTGGTCAACACTATGTAACAAACCAGAGCACTCAAGGCCCGGTGAAATAAGGAAAAGAACATATTGCAAAACAAATGGCTACAAGACCTAAGATTTCAGAAGCTGATAATGTAATGTGATGACGTTAACAACTAAAAGCCAAAGATTTACCAGCAACCTAAACGTAAAACACTATCTGCGAACACACATTATCTAAGACAGAACTGAGCAAAAACATTCTCCGGATGAAAAATTTTCATTACAAAAGGAAACCGTCTGAGCTAACGTTATGACCATGAAAAATAAAGCTTTTGTAACAGACATATGTACGAGGATGCTGCTGAAGTCCCTGCTGCTGCTGCGCACTGCTTCCAATCACGGGAAAAGAACAGCAGCCTTCAGGTCATCATTCGGCACCCCGTCGTCGAGCTGGTTCTGGAGCCGGATGACCTGCTCCAGCTCTCGGATCTGCCGGTCCGTTTTGTGACTGACGAGCGTGCGGTAAAAGTGGACGGCAAAGACGATGAAAACCAGTCCGAACGGCACCATGATGCAGGTGGAGGCGATGGCCGCCGCCTTGCCGGAACTTATGGTGCCGCTCTGCTCTTCGGGCTTGTTTTGGAGCGGTAAGAACTTCACCCAGCACAAGAGCAACACCTCCGTCAAGAAGAGGAGCGTTCCGATAACTGTGGAGAAGGCCCAGGCCAGTTCTATGTAGCGGTGCATGCGCTCATGCGGAGACTCGTTCACAGAGTTGAGGTTGTGGACGTTGCTGACGGCCTCCAGGTTGGGCAGGATGCAGGTGCTGATCATGAGGGCGAAGAGATGCACGGCAACCAGAACGGTGGTGCAGGCACTGAAGGCGATCAGCAGTCCTGGAGGATATGTGAAATCCCGCTCCAGCTGCACCTCCACCATGGCAACCTGGAAAAATAAACAGGACTGTGGGTGCTCAAAAGATCGGATCCAACAGTTAGCATGGAGTGACAGCTTACACCCTTGAAAGATGTTTAGCACTATTCATACAATTCAAGGTGCTTCATGAGAACTTAGAAATACATTCTATAAAGACATAAAAGGAATATTAAATGGCAGTAGACACCATTAAAAGAAAAAAAAATGGATATTACTAAAGAAAAAAGAAAATGCATTTAAAATGCAAACATAACACAAGCGCAGACAACAAAATGGTTGTGGTGGAGGCCGACTGTTATGATGATGTGGCATGAATGGGGACGCTTAAGACATCCCTTTTCATCACGGCTATTTTATCATTTGCACAATTGCTGCTGATAAAAGATGCAGCAGCTTTTGGCAGCTTTCAGCTGCCATGACAGTTTTTGCATGCTACATCTAAGTTTTAAAAACGGAGGCTTCTTTTTACATGACTCTTAGTTTTTCTGTTAAAACAGAGTAATGCACACGTGTAAATACACATTACAGTACTGCCGTTGTTACGGGTTGATAATAACAAGGGAGGAGCTGTCCACAGTCGGAAAGCCTGTTTACATGGAGCGCACTGTCCACGGCAGTGGTCACTGCCGCTACGGCGTGACGTCAGACGCCAATTAAGCAGATATTCTGACGGTCATTCCTGAGTGTTGCCATCACACAGGGCATCTGTAGGGCATCATTTGGAATAAAAAAAAAACAAACAATGCAAAGTTACCGGAGCGGGCCGCCATAGGGCCTGCAGAACTACGCCGAAACAAAGCGGTGAGAGTGGTGCGTCACACACACGGACACGCCGCTGCCTGACCCGAGCGGAATTACGGCCAGACCCGCGACCTGCTAAAAGTCAAAGCAAACTTACCATGGCAAAACCCGACAGGAGGGCTGAGGTGCGGCTGGTGGCCTTTAGTTTGGCTCGACTCAAGTACAACTTTCTCCAGGACAGAGCCTGCATGGAGACCTCGTTCGAACTCATTCCGAAAGTTGTTCTTGAGTAAATAGTTGTTTGAAAAAAAAAAAAAAAAGGTTGATATATAAATATATATTTACAAGGCGGATATATTTACTGGAAGGTTAAAAACGTCCAGGGGAAATTTGTTCCCGGAGGGTTCGACATCTACAACGACTAAGATACGAGTTGTGAAAAAATATGTCAAAACTTTCGCGCAACAGCTGACTGTGAGAATCTATGAGGAAACACAAGATACCCACAATCCAACGCTCTCCTGCAGCCTCCACCCCTCCCACCCAGCGCCACTAATAGTTCCCTCGTCATTAAGTTGACAGTCTTGACTGGACGAATACACAACGTCTTAAGTATGGTCCCGGTATTGGACATTTATCCAAAAGTACTCATTCTGCGAAAAGAAATACACACCCAGAATTTTTTGGGGGCGCTGATGTCTGGGAGGAAAGAATTGTAGTAATTTATTTATTTATTTATAGAACATCGAGGAAGTCTCCTCTTCTCTGCTCATGTGCTCTGTATCTTCACTAAAAATAAAATAAAAATCAAACCTGACAAAATAAGGACAATTTAGTAAGTGGCTGGGACAGATGTACAGCAGAAGATACATTTCTGAATATCTGATCTGCCCTGAAGTCATTAGAAAAATAACTTATCAATTTTCTGTTGAACCATCTACTGTTCAGAGGCCTCATGAGAAATAACTTTTAACAGATAGTTGGATGTAAAGAAACCTTTCCTAAGGAAAGAGAAAAGGACAAAAAGCACAATATGTGTGCTGAAGAGAGGTGACAAGTCTACTATAGAGATGAATCATTGACATTACTGAAGATGTGTAGGTTCATCTTGACAGAAAATGGAACAAAAGACAACCACCTGCATCCAAAGAAGAGCTGTGGAAGAGATTTCATGAAACGTGGGCTACAACAAGGCCTTCTTAAAGAAAGTAAGTCCTGGGCTGTCCTACCACAGTTCAGACTGTGCTGAAGACTAAATGTTCTCTGAGAAAATGTGCATTTTCAAGGTGATGAAATTATTGATCCTTTTCTATGATAAACCTTTTTCATATACTGCATCCTCATGAATTAAATAATCATCTGCTGCTGCCTGCCCGTTTACTGACAATATACTTATGAAAGTACATTTGGGAATGTTGTATCCTCCGACCAAAAGGTCAAAGGTAACAACACAGTCATGTGTGCTCGGGTCATAGCGCAAACACATGTATACTTATTCCATTAATATGCATGTTTGTGAAAGCAGCATATCATGTTTAGGATATCTTGATTTATTTCCCAATACCTGAAGCCAGGGCAGATAATCATTAAGAAAGAATTTGAAAAACTAAGTAGTTTGTATAAAATGGGAAATCATTTTAAATAAAAAAAAGAATCAAGTGCTATTGTGTTGTGTGTATATGTTTTTCACATTGTAAATATTTCACCTTTAGGTATTTGTGCCCCAACACATATTGAGTGATAGATTTATTTTTTTGCATTTCACCATTGTCTACTGTTGTGCACAGATTATGTCATTTTCTTTGTGTTTGTTTTTTTCCGAAATACTTTTTATCAGCATAAGTGACTTTAGAGCATGTACGGGCAAACCAAATCTAAAGGCCTGAGGCACAAGGATGAGTCGTTGAAAAACATGCAAGTTGCTTGACAAAACACTGGATGGTGCCAAAGCTAGTCATTCTCAATCCCAACATACCCATGCATTACACAATGGTATGCTGTATTGTAAGGATTATGTAATACAGATAAAACCAGAGCAAATCCTTCAGCGACTCATTTGTTCTGTTGACTCTTTATTCAGCTATGTTGAATTTCAAATGAATGAGTCACTCTCACCTTCATACTGATACCTTTATACTGTTTACAGCTAGCTCGGATCATCTTTGTACAGTTGACAATCATTGCTAGTGTTGCATTGTGTATATTCTTCTAAATGGTATACAATAGTAAGTTCAATCAACATACTTAAGGAGTGATCACACAATTCTACAGTCCTGGGGTGTCTTACCAGCAATGGAACACAACACAAATACTATCATCAACACATACCTACAACTGGTATATTAAAAAACAAATGTTAAGAATTGCTTTTAAGCATTATTTGATGTTAGTGGAAGATTTCTAAAACCATGATAACGTCTTTAATGGATCAACACACACGCACATAGAACTGGGGAAGCAAAGACGGACGTGTGTAGGAGAGAGCACTCTTGTTCTACCTGAATGTCTTCACTTCCTGTACAATCCATGCTGCATTCACGATACAACAAATTGCCGTTACCAAAACTTGTGACTTAATTATATAAGATTATTCTGAAGCAGTTATCTGCGCCAAAATGGTCAGCTCCTCTGCATTTTCCTAAGTTTTATATGTTTGAAATAAAACGCACCTACAGTCGCTGTTGTTCTCTTCACGATTTAATTCAGCTTAGTTTCGGCTGATGTGAACGTTAGAGGTTGGACAAACAAGTGGATGTTAGCGTTTCCTATGGCACCTGAACGGAGCGCCTTGGACATAGCCAGCAGCTGCTGTGCCTGTGCTGGTGTACCGAGAAGGAGGGGGTGAGTCGAGCTGGAGGTTTGATCAGCCATGTTAGTTTCGTCTGCTGTTCACAAACGATGAGAGGAGAGTCATGGCCTTGTCAATGAGCGGGGACGATGAGGAATACGAGTCAGAGTCTGAACAGGTACGAACCGCTGCACTTGGCTGTATTTCATCCGTCTGCCCGTGACTATTTCGACTGCGGTAGTTTCGAGAAGGAAGCCGTTTGTGAACGTTTTTTCCCCGTTTGCTTCAGGTCAGCGTTACACCCGCTCTTCTCTGTGTTTGTGGTGGTCAGGTTGGAATGAAGAAGGCGTTTTTATCAACCCTCTCCTTCATTCCCCGGGAGCATAAAGACACAATCCCCTCGTTGAATGTTATATCTTTCGTGTTTAAAGTTTATTTTATGGATTTTTGCATCCACGGACCGTTTAAAACACACCGCGGTTCATCTCTCACGTTAGCCTCAACTGACCCACTTTGTTCTGGCCACCTCTTAATACTCAGCAGCTTCCCCGAGTCATGATTAAAATGATTTGTTGTGACCACAACCTCCCCCTATTATCCCACCGGTCGCCGTTAGACCCTCGCCCCCACCACCATTTTTGTGCGGGCTCGAGCCGTGATTTCCTCGTGTACGCCAACCTGCCATGCTGAAAATGATTTTTTTTTTCCGGAATCAATTTCCTCATACTTCCAAACTTGTCCCACCACTCTGCGCCTTTAAGAAGGCTTTAGGCATAAATGTTGTTGAGGCTGGGACTGTGAAGGGGGGTGGGGAGAGGGAACAATGAAGTGGCTCTACTTCTGTGGCTTGTTGGTCCAGTGGTTCCCAAACTGGGGTGAAGGGCTCCCCTCAAATCACTAGCTCTGAGGCTGGTGCTAAGTGTTTTGTTCACCTGTTTTGCCAAAGTAGTGTTAACTGAGACGTTATGCGGTTTCTCTGATAAAAGTTTTATCTATGGGCAGATGTGTGTTTCCTGGACTCAGCACTGTGAATGCTGTCCTATGGGATGCATTGCACAAGCGCCCATTGGAACCCCGGCTCCTACAAATTATGTGCAGTGTGTGAAGATCTCTGCACTCCTGCACTAACACCGACTAAGCACCTACTAACTGCACATCATCAGAGATGTGTCTTTGTTTTTTTTAAAGGCTTCTGTAAGGACACATGGTTGGGGACTGCAGCACAAGCTGTTATGTGAGCCATTCAGATGACGGGCCTTGTGACTTCCTCCCACTGAAGTCCACGCTGAAGCTGAGTCAGAGGACTGTGCTCAGCATATAGGCCATGTTTTGTTCACATGCCTCAGCAACCAATCCCAAATTCCTGACATATCGTTGCATGGTTGCAGGAAAGGAAAGTCGGCTTGCACAATGATGTGTTTGGGCACCGTGCTTTGTGACTGAGGCTATGGGCCGCCTCAAGATGCTTATCCGCACATGGTGTTTTCACTATACTGACATCAACTTTATAGGTGCTGTTGCATATATTTGATATCAACAAAGAAGTCGTCTGAAGGGCATTGCTTTCCCAACTAAATTAGCAGTAGTTTGATGCAGCAACGTTGTGAAAAGGTGTTCTTTTAAAAGAGACTGAAACCAAAATAATTTCACACCCTTTTAGCATGATGTGTGAGGGTGAGTTAAATAGGATGGGTGATATTGACAGTTGCTATTTGTGTTGTTCTTTACAGTCGACGCACAAAACAGGTATATCTCCTTTTTACAAAGCATCGGAGGGATTGCAGTTGATGGTGTCTAGCTGTGTTTCACATGGTGTACCTGTCCATAGCGCACAGGCGTCCAAAATCCATTTGTACACAAACAAAAATGTGCTCTGTTTAAAGAGCAGCATTCATCTGCAGTACGTGGGCTGCGTGTTTATTCTCAGTACAGTAACAATGAATGATTACAGGAAAATATTCACAGCCCAAAATAAAACTCATAACCACCTCCTGTGAGCTCACTTTTATCCATCTCTCTCAGCCCCCTGATCAAGCGTGTTGCCAGGGTTACCACTCCTGCAACGGTCCATGGTTTGTCGTATTTTCACGGGGCTTTATAGTGCTCACATGGCAACAGGGAAGAGATGGAACAGTGGGAGATTAATAATGTGGTTATTCATGATTCAATTAACTGTTTGTGTGATGAAATGAAAATGAATCGCCTGCTATTCTCCAGTGTTTGATTATTTCTGAAGTGAAGCATCTGGTTCCAGCTTCCCAGTTGTGATACTCATTCGACCTAAATTCTGCTGTATTTTTGCTTGCGTTTGTTACCAATTCAAACTGTCTGGTTTGGGTGTTGTGTGGATTTCTTAACAGGTTTTTAGTGTTAGCTCACCTTTCTTTCTTTTCTCTCTTTTTTTTTTGTTTTTTCTTTGAAATGGAATATGATTAGAATTTAGTGAAATTAATCAACGAGAAATGTATTTATTTATTGTTTTTATTTTTTTTTCATAAGCATGACAATCCTATGACTATCATGAACCGCTTTGACCATTCGTCTTCCAGCAGCGGGCAGCCAACCGGCCAAAACCCAAGATGGGGACGTCGTCGGCCGTTAAGCTGCCGTCCAACCGCAGCTCGTCTGGAGCCAGGCGGCGTCGGACGCGCTGTCGAAAGTGCGAGGCATGCCTCCGGACTGAATGCGGAGGATGCCACTTCTGTAAGGACATGAAAAAGTTTGGTGGGCCGGGGCGCATGAAGCAGTCCTGCATTATGCGCCAGTGCATCGCGGTGAGTCAGCAGCAAGATGGCAGAAGTTTAAAGAATTCACAAGCAAGTGAAACACCAAAGTATCTCTTCAAAATAATTGGGAGCACATTGCTAACTTCTTGATGCAACCAATTTTATTTAGTTAATTTCCCGGGACGGTAAACGGCTCATTTTGTGAACTGTTTCTGATCTTTCTTTCCTTTTTTTGTTGCCCTGAACCGTGCAGCCTGTCCTGCCCCACACAGCAGTGTGTGTGGTGTGTAAGGAGGCAGGCAAGGAGGACACCTTGGAAGACGAGGAGGACAAGTTCAACTTCATGCTAATGGAGTGCTCCATCTGCAATGAGATCGTCCACCCGAACTGTCTCAAGGTACAGAGTGGGAACAGGCAGAGGCCTCCAGCTGAGTCGGTTATAACTGTATCAGAAACGGAGTAACATAGGCTTGGACAGTAGTTATTGAAGCCAATTTGATGTGAAATAACACAATGATGCAGTTCCTGATGCAGCTATAACTTCAAAATTTGACAAAGACACTAAACAGATTTTCTGAGCGAAGACTTCGCAGCTCCTTCAGAAAGTTTGTCAAACTGGGAGTTCTCTTTTAAAAAATGAAGCGGCCATCATGCTAAAAACAAACACTATGAGTTGTTTTTGTTGTTGGCTGAGGCTTTGTCAAACCAGTTCTGAAGGTGTTTTGCATGCAGCAGTTAAGGATTATAATGCCAGCAGAGTGACCTCATCCAAAGTTTTGACAACATAATTGCAAAAAGAATGGCTAATTCTGATATGTACAGTGGCCTGTTGTAACTGAAGGGAAGTAAGAAGTAAGCTGTTCTTAGCTTCTGGAGCAACATCCTGTCCTTGTCGTCTTTTTAAAAAAAACAAAAAATATCCATGAAACCAGACCATGTTGGGATCAATGCTGTGCAGGGCCACACAGGATGCCTTGTTCTCTTTGAAGCTGCATTTAATTCCTCGATTACTATTCTGTTTGGTCGGTTTTAGTGTGTTAATACAGAATAAGAACGTTTATTCAGCAACTCGTGTTTTTAAGTCAAAAATAGGTTTTTAACTGTCTGTACTTCCTTGTTTCACAATCCATGAAGGAAAGCTTAACTGAGTGTAGTCAAACTGTGCTGACTGTCCTGACGAGTGCTGTTCACAACAGCCGCTTTCATTTCCCTCCTCCTGATGTGTAAAGCACCGAGGCCCTTTATCAAAGCTCGTGTTGTGTTGCTCCCATTGGTCCGACAGGTGAGCGACGCCTCCGGAGTGGTGAACGACGAGCTCCCCAACTGCTGGGAATGCCCCAGGTGCAACCACGCTGGAAAGAGTGGGAAAGTGAGTTCAAATCTCGACAATTAAAATGTTTTTTTCTTTGAGTCGCAGCCTGCGAGGTGTTAAATGTCAGAAAAAGGTGCATGTCAGCAGAGGAAATGGTGACGCCGTTTTTAGACCATCATTGTTGTAGTGTTGCTTCCAGCAAAGCACCCACGTGATGACCAGCTTGTTACTTCTTGTTTATACTGTTGTTTGAGAAAGCCCGATGCGCTTGTTATAGCCACAGAAACAGGAAACCACTGAATTGAATATGTTTGGGTTGAGGAATGAGCTGACTAAACCCTAGCGTAAGCTTAAAGGTACAACGAGGGGGGAGGGGGCTTCTGTTATCAAGTCACGATAGGCTAAAGGTATAAAGTTGTCTCGCAATTGTTGTCCCCCTTGGTGCTGAAGCAAAAAAGGGGGCCCGGATTCAAGTACGCCTCCAACCTCCCTGGCTCTCTGCTGAGGGAGCAGAAGCCTGTGAAGGAGGAGGGGGAGGTGCCATCTGCAGCCAAAAGGAGGCCAGAGGAGACGCCCAGGTACAGACCGGAGGAGGCTCTCCACCGCCAGCCGCCGCTGCTCTCCCCCAGCAGCCTGCCCCGGCCCCGGCCCGAGGACAAGCTGAGGAAGAAGAGGAAGCTGTTTGACGATGACGAGGACGAGGATCTCGGTTTGAGGAAGAAGGTTTGTATAGAGCAGAGACTTTCAAACACGCTAGAACACGCTCTGTATCTGGACAATACTCTGTCCAGACTGAATAAAGTGATGCCAGTCATTCTTGCATTTTGTCCTCCAGGAAAAGGCGGACGAGCCGTACTTTTCCAAACTTCTGCACCAAATCAAGACGGAAGAGGAGGACGATGATGCGTATGAGGAAGACTATGACGAAGGGAGGGAAATGAACTTCAGAAATATTGTGGATCGGAAAGGTCGGTTTGGAGACGCCGAGGAGGAAGGGGGCTACAAGGAGCTAAAGAGTGAGACTTTGAACCCCTCCATTAAAACCCCGGTGGCAGACAGCGACCAGTCCCACTGCAGCTCCCCCCGGGCGGGGCCCAGCAGCGAGGGCGGCAGCGAGACGCAGGAACGGGGGCCGCGCCCCAAAGCCCGCCGCAAGCGCCGTCTGCCCAACCGAGAGCTGAGCCGAGAACTAAGCAAAGCACTGAACCAGGAAATCCTGAAGACCGAGGACTGCCTGGCCAACGAGAACCGGCAGCCGCTCAAGCTGGAGCCCGAGACGGAGAACGAGGAGCCCAAGAGTCTGTTCCGCAACGGCAACGAGCTGGCCGACCAGAGGTCCCACCTCAAGACCAAAGAGATGAACGGCGCCCCCTGGGAGCTGCGCCACTTCTACCCCAGCCAGATCACTCCGCTGGGCTTCAACCGCAGCACCCCCACCACCCGGCCCGTGCCCCCGCGCTCCCCGCCCAAGTGCATCCAAATGGAGCGCCACGTCATCCGGCCCCCCCCCATCAGCCCGCCTCCGGACCGCCTCCCCCTGAGAGACGGCAAAGCGCACGTGGCGCAGCGGGAGCTCTGGATGAAGATATTCCGCTACCTCTCGCACCAGGAGCTGTGCGTCTGCATGAGAGTCTGCAAGACCTGGAACAGATGGTAAAGGCACCACTAACCTTTTTGCTTCAGAAACAATCAGAAGTGCCGGCAGTCTCTCTGAGCTTTAACACACAAACCTTTTCTCTCCGGGCAGGTGCTGCGACAAGAGACTTTGGACAAAGATCGACCTGAACCGCTGCACCTCCATCACCCCTCTCATGCTGAGCGGGATCATCCGCAGGCAGCCCGTCTTCCTGGACCTCAGCTGGACCAACATTTCCAAAAAACAACTAAGCTGGCTAATTAATAGATTGCCAGGTACTTTTGCTACGAGTAACCAGGTTTCCTGTCGGCACCTGAAGAGGGCTGGATGTTTTCCTCGTGCTGCACGCGTGTTTTAAAATGCTGCTCTGCCCCTCAGGTCTGCGAGTGCTGAAGCTGTCCGGCTGCTCCTGGGCGGCCGTGTCTGCCCTCTGCACCTCCAGCTGCCCGCTGCTGCGCACCCTGGATGTGCAGTGGGTGGAGGGGCTCAAAGACCCACAGATGAGGGACCTCCTCTCTCCGCCCACTGACAACAGACCAGGTAATTCTTGTAACAGTTGTAAATGTATCATCAAATCTAAGATGACTTTCAAAACGGATTAGGGATGAAGGCGGAGGTTAAACTTTAAGATTCTGTCCTAAAAGTAAATCGATGGCTGAAGGGATTTTCTTTTGTGAACAGAAAATCCCTCAAGTTTAACCTGAGAAGCTTGTGTTTGATTGTTGGCAGAGGAGATTGGAAAAGCAGTGAGAGCGAGATGAGATGAGAGCTGTTCACACTGAGAGGGCCTTAAGCACAGGATCCACAAATAGATTTCCAGAAGGGTCCTTATGATGATGGCAAAAAGCCGCTCACTTCTGACTCTCAGCGAGACAGGTCGCTGATGCTGACAGTGATAGATAAAAAGATCCTGCCTGACTGGCTCAACGGGGGAGCCTCATTTGAATTTATGGTTTCCATCACCTGCAGTCAACCTGATGTGTGACTGTTGGAGTATTTGTGTGTGACTGTTGGAGTATTTTGAGTTGACGGCTAAGACCAGAAAATGCTAAATTACAGAGAAATACTTAACAACCAAACGTGGATTTTGAGTATTTTGCTCTCCGCGAAACCTTATTCTCATAAATTTAGATTTTAGTCGATCCACTTTACAGAGGTTCTGGGTGGACAAATGAATCTGTTATCAGTGAGACATTTCTGCACACCTAATGTAGTCAGAAGCCAGTCTCTGTTTGCCTCCCAGAGAAATCAGGTTTCTCTTGATGCTGACTCCTCAGTATGGGCCCGTGCACGTTTTAAAAATGTATTTATTTATTTTTAACTTACTAAAACATTTCACTGCTGACTGTCCCACAGGAGGGGGTTGTTTCCACCTCGTGGACATGTGGTAGTGATGTGAAACATGGAATCGATTTACATTTTAAAGACAGGCTTAGATTGACCGTCTGTGTATTTTATCTGTATTTTTTTGTTACTACTGGATCACATTAATCTGTGACTACATTATCTGTCCAGGTTATCCTCTAGCTCATTGATTTTGAGTTTTCAGAAATTGTTTCCTTTTTTTTTTTAACCATAATTTCTATGTTGATGCCCCCCCCTAAACACTCCTGTGCTGTGCCCTGTGCCTCCCGTCCAGGTCAGCTGGATAACCGCTGCAAGCTGCGTAACGTGGAGGACCTGCGGCTGGCGGGGCTGGACATCACCGACGCGTCCCTGCGCCTCATCAGTCGACAGATGCCTCTGCTCTCCAGGCTGGACCTGAGCTACTGCAACCACATCAACGACCAGTCCGTCAACTTCCTGACCGCCGCCGGCACCACCACCAGAGACTCCCTCACAGAGATCAACCTCTCAGGTGAGCCCAGGGGCCAGAGGAGTGGAGCAGGATTTAATCTGTGGGCTGCGCCGTGCTGAGCCCGGCCACAGTGCCAGCGATGGCGGGGTGACCGACGGAAAGCATCTGCTCTGAGATGGGGGGAGCTTCTCCTCCTGCATCGGCACCTTTATCAGCATTTACTGTCCATTCAACTTAAGCTCTGAGGAGACATCAAAAAAGGGACTTGTTGTGCAATTGTGTGTGATTTTTTTATTTCTTTTTTTTTCTTTTAAATAAAAAAAAAAAGAATGTTTTGCAGTAGCTGTGAAAGCTGACTTCTGAGGAAGACTTAAAAAGCAGAAGTTTTCATTGAGCAGCCAACTCCGAAGCACAAAGAAGGAAGTCTTGACTTTTGGTGTGTTCCTCATTCCTTTTTTTTTTTCACCCTGTGGTCACATTTGTAGTTTCTTATTAGCATCCCATGCAAAAAAAAACTTTCTATGGCACGACTCATTTAACAAACATCTGATTTTGTGTCAGTTGTGCGTTAAAGGAGCTGCCATCATCTTCTCTTTACACGTCAGCGTATGGTTCTGAGAAGCTGTCGTGGCTGAAATCCCTTTTTTATGGAAAGAAATCTATTAGAATCTCACTGTTCTAGTTGACGTTTTTTTTTTATTTTTAGGATTGTAAATAAAGGTATAGAATGCGTTTCTATTCGGTGTAGCCTCTCCGAGACGGAGAGCCGTCAAAAGGTCAGTCCTAGCGTCGTTTCCTCCAAGCGCGTCTCATTTTAACGGTCTGTGTCTCCTCACAGTTTGCAACCGCGTCACGGACCATTCCCTAAACTTTTTTAAGCGCTGTGGCAGCATCTGTCAAATCGACCTGCGCTTCTGCAAGCAGGTGACCAAGAAGGCCTGCGAGAGGTTCATCGCAGAGATGTCTGTGAGTGTACCGTTCAAGCTGAGAGAGGACAAGCTGCTGCAGAAGACGAGCTAGTCCCTGACAGGACCGCACACTGACAGACTGTCTTTGCACTTAATGGAACAACAGGTCCTGTGATTAAGCATCTGAGTCACTCTGCTGATGAACTGAGGTGAGAGCTGGCCACGGTGGAGAGTTCACTGGACAGATAAAGGGGAAGCAGCATGCATGCAATTCTGTTGAGACTGTACTTTTTTTTTATATATATACATATATATATAAATATGAAGATGTGGTTGTAATTAACTGTTGAGTTATTTTTAATTCTTTAAAAAAATTAAAAAATAGTATTTTTGTACAAGTATCATTTCATAAGTTTAGTGTCTCAGGAGCGGAATATCAGACTGCAGCAGGAGGAACAAAAAAAAAAAAAGAAAATCTTCCCTTTGTTATGCTGTCACATGACTGTGTGCCAAAATCTCCATTGGACGCTGACGAAAAGAGAAAAGAAAAAAAAAAAAGCTTGTGATGTAACCTGAGTGTCACAGATGATTTTATTTGCTTAGAATGTGTTTCAGCAAAGAGAAAACAAGAGTTCATATTCCTTTTACACCCCGATGTTTTCCATTTCTTTCTCAACTGTGGAGTGTTATTGTTTGATGGTAGTTTCATCAATATTTTTTAATTAATTTATTGAGTTTTTTTCCCCCTTTTCTATTCCACTTTGTATTTATTCATTTATTCAGTAACTTTACATTAGTGTCTTACATATATGGGTCAAATAATGTGTGAATAATTTATCAGGGTGGCTTGAGCCCTAGCAGGAGCCAGCCAGTGGGGTTCAACTCCCTGAAGCGAGTAGCAGTCGCAACCTACCTAAAGTCGACGTCCTGTGCCGCAGTCAGCCCCCACACACACACGTGGTTTTCTGTCATGGCGGCTGGCGGGGCCTGTGCAGATCATCCATACGTTGAGCAGACATTAGGTGTTGTATTTGGGTGTTGTGCTGTGACCTGATCGCCTCAGGTGAATGTGATAATGTTTATATTTGTAAATCTCAAAAAAATGAAATGCTAATATGCATTAAAAAGATTTTCATTTGTACCATCATGGATCCCTGAAGGCGGGTTTGCTTGTCTTTTGTTCTTTTTGCCAGTAATGTTTCCTCCCTTTAAGTCCAAGTCATCAGATACTAAATTCAGTTATTTCCCATTCTGTTTTTGTACCAAAGACTTATTTCAAGTCAAAAGATGATGCAGATGGCAGAAAATGATGCGATTCTGCCTTCTCTGTGAAGAGATTTAATGGTTCAGAAGAGAAAGTTGCTGTGGGCTCATTTCAATCCACTATTTAAAACCCAACCATCGAAACAACACAAAAGCAGGTTTGAATTACAATCTTTAATTACCAAAATAAAAAGTTCCACATTCCCAAATACAAACACCAAACCCTGCATACGATTACACCCTTGCGAGCAGAAAAAGTGCCACCTGCTCCGCAGCAGGCTGACGGTGGAGGACACCGCCTGCTCGTTTGTAGGGTGGACCTGCATCTGAGTGAGCTGAAGGGAGAAATGTAACCAGTGCCATGAACCTTCACATCATGCTCTCCAGGCAAATGAATGCAGGTTAAACATCTCCACAGGAAAAGAAAATACAAATCTAAAAAAAAATCAAATAAACTTGATCTCAGAGACAGTTTAGAAATATAGTATCAGACCAAATCAAATTGAAAAAAATATAGATATGTGCATCTGATAAATATACGCAAATGTACATTAGCAAGCCACTTCCTGTATATACTTTCTAAACCACAGGTGTCGGTAAACTCTTAGTTACATTTTTGAATAATTAGTTCTATAGCAACTCCTTCATGATCAGCTAAAGAGCTTTAAGACATTTCTTTCCACTTCCAACAGTAAACCACCAAACTAACATCTAGTTTCAAAGTCCATGAGTCAGCTGGAAAAGGGGATGGCTGGAGGAGTTAGCACCAGTTTAGTCTCGCGTCTCCGTGTGAGTGCTGAGAGGCGACAGAGGTGATAGCGGAGCTTTGATATTGCTGTGACAGACGTGGTGTGACACGCTTCATGCGTTAAAATGAGCGTTTATTACGCCACAAAAAAACAACAAACGATGCACCGGCTCTGTAAGAAAATCAACATCTGGAGATGGAGCGGGCTCAGTCACACCGTGCTGGCTTCAAACAGAAGCTAGAACTTTTTCTGATGAGCTTTTCAGAGCTTGGCTCCACTCGGTGAGGCGTTCAGGGACTGACCCACAGCCCTTCATCCGTTACAGCCCGTCCCTGTGGGCCGCGGGTCGTGAGTGGGGACGCATTATCGCAGAGAGTGAACAAAGTGCTTTCAGGTCTGACATGCTGATAGATCATCACTGTCCCCGGCGGGTTTGATGGAGAACAAAGATGAGAGGCATCGGGGCATGGCCCCGTTATTTGGCACCTACTTTTCTAACCTCCCCTCTCCTGATGAGGTGCCGTCGCCCCCCCCATTGTAACTTGGTATGCAGCCACTTGCAGATGTTGTGTGAGAGGTGCTCTTAAGACGCCCAGCAGAGCAGAGGTGTGTTTAACAGGACGCACGAGCTAGGTCACACATTCTTTAAACTGTAACAGAAACTAAACTGACTTCAGAAAGAAGCCAAATAAGAAGAGATATGTCTAGAAGTGAGTGACTCACAGGACTGCACGGTCCCAGTCTGCCAGCCAACCCAACCAGAAAATCGTTGTCAGGAAAAAAACCAACAAAAAAACAAAACAAAAATCAAACTCCTGTATTTCTGTGTGCAAATAACGAGAGAATAGAGGAAACGCACACCCCCGCAAAAGTCTTTTGGGGATGTGAAGTTTCTGAGCTGCATTGCTGAGTTAAGGTAGCGTCTGTGGGGCGTTGTGTGTGTGTGTGTGTGTGTGTGTGGGAGGGGGGCGTTAGGATTTGAAGACGTGCACGGCCCTCACAACGTACTGCCTGCAGATTGGGCACTCGCTCATCCTCTTGCCACACTTGGTGCAGGTGACCATGTGGCCGCACTCCAGGAGGACGCAGTCGATGACCGCGTCCATGCAGATCCTGCACAGGTTGTCGTCGTGAATGGCCAGCGGGCAGGTGTCCCCATCTGTGAGAGGAGAGCCGAAGAGGGAGAGAGGTGAGGAGGGAGATCTTTGAAGCTTTAAATGGGGTAAAAAAAAAACTACAAAAACAAAAAAGCACTTAGCAGCTTGAAATGACAAAAGTGCACTTTAACCGGGTAAGGTCATGCTCACAATAGCCTGCAAAATGTCAGTGTCTGCTTTGGCTCTGCATGAGAGCGTTACCACGGCAACCGCAGCTTGTCTTTCTTTGTTATAAAGCACCAGAAGCATGCTGCTTGGGGATGGATTCAACACGGTGAGGTGACATAAAATGCCTGAGCTGGTGTTCTTGGATGAAATGAAGCGATATTTGCTTCCATCCACAGTGAGAGCGGCCCGGGCCGTCCCTCTAAACGCCGCTCAGCAGGAAGCGTGGAGATCCCACACATTAATGGAGGGAGAGCCGGTGAGCACGGAGCCACAATGAACACAGACGGGTTGAAGGTTCTGATAAACAGGCGAGTCACAACCAGAACATGTGACCTTACCTCCGAACGCAGCGCTGCAGATGGGGGGTGGGAAGGCCATCACTTTATCGTGAGACGAATAAAGCAAACATAAGACTTTATCAGGATGGACTCAGTTCAAATGACCCACTTAAGGATCAATGCAACATGCTGCAAATTTAGGTTTTGGGTTAAAGACTGAAGGGTGTCAGAAGAAGAGTTTCAATGGTTAGAAACGGGATGTGGTGTCCAAAAGTGGCAGTTGGGTAAGTGCAGAAAGATACAAGTGACAGCTTACCTGTGGTTACAGTACTGCTCACATTTTCCACTGTAAGAAAAATAAAACTCAACTCACTATCGCTCTTCTATCAGGCAGGCTTACGGCTGTGTGCTCAAGAGGAAGAGCGGCACTAAGTCTTTTCTCAGAGTGGTGGAGCTGATACCCACATGACTTCCTGTTCTCCTCCGTCTCTCGGTACAGTCTGCTCACGCGCTCCACCAGCTCCCACTTCTCACAGCAGCCGGAATAGTTGACAAAGTTCCGGGCCAGGATCTCCTTAAGCTGTCTGACGGACAGGCCCTCGATGTCCCTCACACTGGAGATGTCAGAGAGGGACGCTCTGGCACGCCGGCGTGTGTGAGGACTCACCTAAGACGACACGGCTAAAGACTTAAAACCCACCACAAAGCATTGCATCAAAGTTTACATCTACACGTGTCTGTCGGCCTCTACTGAAAGGCGTCGACTCTCAAAATGAAAGAATTGTTACAAGGTGACAAAGGAGAAAGGGATCACCTCGGGAGTGCGGTCACTGGGGTCCAGGTTTAGCAGAGACACCGATGTGGTGTCACCGATATCCTGCAGCACAACAGCAGAGAAAAGCATGAGGGATTACCCCGTGTGTGTGGAATGCACCAGATCACTGAGGATAAGGATTAGACACTCCTCAGCCACCACAGGGGCACCCCAGGAACAACAATGCCCCGTACCTTCCATTCATAGAAAGCTTAATGGCCCGTAAGCGGGCCGGGAACAAGTATTTATAGTGAATCCTGGTGGCTCCCGGCTAAGCTCCCCTTTCACTGTCAGCTGCAGCCTCTTTTATCTTTATTTTTGTCTGCTTTTTCCCCGGACTTAATTTATTATCAGGTTTATTTACAAATGGAAGTATTGACAGGGTGAGAGGAGGAAAAAAAAAAACACATTCACCCTGAACATTTCTACAGACAACGGGGGCCTGGTAGCTCTAACCTGGTTGGTATCGGAGCTGTCGCTGCGGCTGAGCGGCTCCTCCTGCGAGGCGGCCAGAGCGGACAGCTCTGAGGCCGACTGCGTGGTGGAGGGCGTGTACAGGGAGCGCGAGTGCAGGCTGGCCACCTCCGGGTCCTCCTCCTCCTCCTCCTCCTCTTCCTCGATGCCTCGGTGGCAGAGCACCAGGTCCACCAGGTCCTCCTTCTCCCTGCAGGTGTCGGTGGGGATGTTGCGCAGCAGCAGGTACTGGCGCAGGTCCTTCACCCGCAGGCGCATCAGCCGCGGCCGCTGGAACGCCGTGGCCTTCAGCAGATGGCAGGTGGCACAGGTGCGCAGGTTCTCCTGGAGCACCGAGCACAGGGAGCAGAAGTTCTTCTTGCAGTCGGAGCAAACGTGCTGCGGGAGACAAAAAACAGCAAACTAAGGCCACTTCTGCCACACGCAGCCGAAAGAAGCAGAAGGCTCAGACAGAAACCCAAACCCCTTTTTTTTTCCCTCATAGGTAAACGAAGCCCTTAAAAAAAGAAACAATCCATTTGGGGTTTACACTTATTCAGGCTTAATTGATAATATCTTCCATATAAAAAGATCAATGTTAGGGTGGGATAGCTGGACGCGGAGTGACGGTTATTGCTATAACACACAGTTTGTTACTTGTGATTAACATCTAGCTCTCTGAATGTACAGGGAAAGCAAACACAGATATGCTAGATTACGATTCAGCTTGGACTGAGAAAAGGCCGAGAGCAGTGAGTGAACATTGGTGTCACCATGATTCGACCAGAGTAAAGATTAGATGAAGTTGCGGCACCTATCTGATTTTGAGTATGGCTTAATGCATTTTACACACCTTTACATTTATCTTTTATGCGACCTTCTCTGAATGCAGCAACACGCTGACACATTTCACATCACATCACAAACTGCAGGAGAAAGAAAAAAAATCCTACAGCCTCAGTTTTTACACGTTCTTATTACCAACCATTTATCAGCTCAAAGGAAAGACGGTAATAACCCACTCTGCTGCAACTCACACACCTTTTCCCTCTCATTAGGCTTTCAGAGGTGTAATATGCGCTTACATCACTCAGAAAGCCCAGGCACCTACCTTCCTCCTGAAAACTGAGAAGGCCTGGCCACAGGCCTTGCACACAAGGCTGGGGCTCCCTGAGCTGGTGGGCGGGTACGTGGAGTACCCCGCGCTGGGGGCAAATCTGAAGGGTCCGGCTCCGGCACCAAAACCTGGCTGATGGCCTCTGACGGCCCCCGTACCCATAACTTCATTCAGCAGACCACAGCATGAAGCCCACATGGACGAGGCCCCTGCCTGAAAGAAACAAGAGTGCTTTCTGTTGACCACTGTCCACACATCAGTGTTAACAATGCTGTAATAGATACTGTCCATAAGCACTAATGGGCTGCTCCAGCACCATGGCTTCACTTCTGCTTACCATACAGAAAACCTGCCTATATGGAGCCCAAATTGGCTAACCTGTTATAAATGAAATGATAAAAAAATCAGTGCTGATTTAACACAATAAGGTACAAACTGTACCAGCTTGCATCATTCCAAACCCTACCTGAGGCAACAGCCTTCGAGAGAAATCAAGTGGAGCAAAAATAGAACAGAACAATCACTTTAAACGCGGTGTCTCTCTTCTAATCATATTTTTAACATCGTCTATGTTAACATTCAGTCATCACATCTACTGCCTGTTTGATCGTTACAACTGTTAGCTTGCACAGGCTGACCAGTACAGCTTACGGTTTATTAGTGGCTAAATAAGCTAGTTACTGCTAGCTACGATCTAAACAGTCCCGAAATTAAATGCTGAAAGGTAAAATAACAAAACAATGCACCTTCATTGCAGCTCCGGAGTGGCTACTGAGAAGGAGAAGGGTGTCAGTGAGATCATTATTAGGTGTAAAGCCGCTTGTTTAGCTGAAATACCCGGCCTGGATGCGTCTCGGTGCAGAGAGCGGTTGGGTTTATCTGTTACTGCCGCCGCCGCTGCTGCTTCTTCGGTTTCATGTTCGGCGACAGTCAGGTGGAGCATCACCGCCACCTACTGGTAGATTAGTGAACGCTCCAAAGGGGGAAAAAATGCTTGTGAAACATGGAGGTTTTTCAGTTTAGCATGCCCACTCTGTCAAACAAAAGCAGTGAAGGTCAATGCAGAATTCAACATAGTCATTACTTGCTCTGGAGTTGCAATTATGAGTGTAAATGACCAACACTTCACATAAAACAGTCTTAAATAATATATCTTTCTGTTTTACTGAAAAAAGAAAAGAAATAGATTCGTATATATATATAATTCGTATAATTAAAATAATAAGTATAATGCGTATAAATGCGTATAGATAAATGCGTATAGATAAAAAAAAAGTAAACTAATCGTTTAAGCAAAAAACATTTTCATTGTCAGATGGACCCCTGCCGAAACCCGGGATCGAACCAGGGACCTTTAGATCTTCAGTCTAACGCTCTCCCAACTGAGCTATTTCGGCTGACATAGAGGAAGCAACTTCCATATTACGTCACATAAGGAGTAGTTAAAGTGAAACAGAAAGTCAGATGTCAATCGTCGAGAGTCAGCGATTCGTTGAAGACGGTAAGGCTTGATTTCTGTCGAACTGCTTTTATAGATTGACCGATAAAGCTAATAAATGAATTAAGTTCCTCGTCCTAACTTATTTGACTGACAGGGTAAGGAAGCCAGATCGAAATATCTTAATTTAATTGAATCTTTACTGTAATTTCTTCTGGTCTGAGAGAATAGGACAGCTTCACTCTGCTTGAGTGATTTACAGGAAATATGGTCTCTTTTTTCTGTTTCTATTCATATATTTTTTAAGAATCAGTACAAATATATGAAGAAGGAACAGAAAAAAAAGAGTATGGCAAGATCATGTAGCTGGGTGTGTTAAAAAAAAGAAGTAAAAAGCTGGAAACAAAACGTGATAAGAGATCAGATTGACCTTTGAACTAACCTCAGTATTTCCACAGAGCTGCAGATCCTTGTGGGACTTAAGTGACCTTCTTCAGTCAGGATGTCAGTACATTTCTCAGGCTGGGAAGCGGTTGACGACGGAGCCTCTAGTCCTGGTGTAATGCTCGGCCCATCACAGACACCCCAAAATAAGGGGGTCTATACCATGTTCCACGGCACCAAAGTGCTCAGCGCAAAGCAAATCATCACTAATGGTTTCAACCAGTCTTCCAGTGGCATGCTGGGAAGGGGTGTGTATATGAGCCGAGACAAGTCGAAGGCGGCTAACTATCCAGCCGGAGGGACTTCCTCTGACCAGGTGATACTTGAGCTGCGTGTCCGTGTTGGACGGGTCAAACGCATTGACAAGGACAACCACCCTTTGCAACTGACCTGGAACCAAAAGGGCTACGACACTGCTTGGGTACCCCGTAAATGTGGCATGTCTTCTGTTCCAAGTGGGCGTGAGGAAGACTGTGTCTTTGATCCCAAAAGAGTGCAGGTTGTGGGCATTGCAAAGGCACCAGACAACAAAATAGAGCAGGAGCTTCTGCAGCTTATAAAGAAAGGATCAAAAAGTGGCAATGGGGCTGCAAATGTGTGCTCCCTGTGCAAAAGGGCGACCCAGAAGGGCACCCCCCATGTGCAGGAGCAGTGCTGGAAGTGCAGAAAAAACATCTGCATACTCATGTCCAAGCACTTCTGTTCCTAATAAGAGAAGGAGATGGCTTTAGCTTAATGATGTGGTTTGATCATACCAAGAGCTACATTCATTTCTTCATTACGAATGATCAAAAAGCAATTCTTCTGAAAATATCAGCAAATTTGTAACAATGAAACTCAAAATGTTACGGATCTGAATCGAGTTAAAAAAAAACTTTTGTTATCAAGTATTCCCCAGTTTGATAAGTTTTAATTTGCATGCAGGTGGTATGTTTACTCTTTTCATTGTGATAAAACACTAGAATTATTTAAAATATATATACAATCATCTAGTTTTTAGTTTCAGTAATTCCACTTGATTGCTTTTTTCTGGGTGTCAGGTTATGATGTAGAAGACTGCATGCACCTTTCTCGGTTTACATTGGTACTTCATAAAGTCTTTATGTTTCAACTATGCATGTTATACGAAAAATAAAAATCTATGTAAAATCTATGTGGCTCTGCTGCTTTTTGATAATTCTTGTGACTTCTGTATGGTGTTGGACCCGGAAGCGTCATGCTGAAGGGGAGAGAAAACATAAAGTTAGCTTGTGGAATACTCAGAATACCTTAGAATTAATTTCTAGAAGAAAAGAAAAAAGTTGTATTTGGCCCGTACGGGGATCGAACCCGCGACCTTGGCGTTATTAGCACCACGCTCTAACCAACTGAGCTAACCGGCCATGAGCCATAGAAGCGGACTTTGAATTTATCATCACGAGTAAGTATGGCAGTGTCATCAGGACAATGCCCAGCTGCTCAGCATTCACAAATATTGGAATATAGTGAAAAGAAAGTGAAACTTATGGGGATTATACTGAATCTACAACGGCTTCGGAAGTCCTTGGACATAAAGTAGGTAGGATAACAAACAATACAATCTACAAATGATGTAGTAACATCGGGAGACGTAATGACAACTTAAAGCGTAATATTGGGTCCCAGATTGACATTTATTTTGTTGAACATGGCTTGACTCTATCATTGCAAAGCCCAGCTAATGCTGAGCTAATTTCAGCTTTAGCATTTATTTTGTGTGTATATTCTATGTAAAAAATATTTTAAAAAGGTTTAGGTTTTTGGAATAACATCTACAGTTTTCATTTTACTGTATGTCCTGAAATGATTGCAGTCATTTAAACCGAACAACATTTTTTTTTTTAGCAATTAGATTCTGTCATTGTTAAGGCAGTAAGTGGCTATATTTCCAGTAGATTTTGCATGACACTCAGAGTTGTATCCACATAAATGTGCTGAAACATAGTAGCATTGTGATGTTTCTTCCTTGCAGAGCAGGGGATTTGCTCACAGCCTCTGGGACTAAAGCAGCATGTCATTGCAGTTCTTTGGTTGGGATGTAACATATGATGATGTCTCTCCTTACTTGGAGCTGGGTGCCTCCCAGGAGCCCAAAGACCGGGGTGTCTACACCATGTACCATGGCACCAGCGTTGCCAATGCACGTCTCATCATCGCCAATGGCTTTAAGCAGTCATCAGGTGGCATGCTGGGAAAGGGCGTTTATGTGAGTCGCAATCAGAGTAAGGCAGACCGCTACCCACTGAGCATTAACCCGTCGGATCGTGTGGTGCTAAAGCTGAATGTCCGTGTTGGTCGGGTCAAACGTATTGACAAAGACAACCATCCTATGCAATACACGTGGAGCACCCAGGGCTACGACACTGCTTGGGTACCCCCAAACTGTGGCATGGCAGCGGTGCCCAGTGGCCTGGAGGAGGATTGTGTGTTTGACCCAACAAGAGTGAAAGTTGTGGGCATTGTAAAGGCCCCAGACACCGTGCTGGCAGAGCTTATACAGCTTGTGGCTAACAGTCAGAGAAATACATTTGGAGGACCAACAGAGAGCAGTGCTGCGGTGGACGTGTGCTCACTGTGCAACAGAAAGCAGCAGCACAGCGCTCCACATGTCAGGCAGCCCTGCTGGGGATGTGGGCAAAACATCTGCACACTCATGGTCAAGCACGACTGTCCAGCCAGATTTTAAGAATGTGTTAAGGCCCAAAAAGCTGTATAGCGGTGACACAGATCCATGTCTAAGTGACCAGGCAGAAAATTTAAGCTTTTAACTTGTTAAATTAAATACTGTCTTGATTTTGGCTGTGTTGTCTTCAAAAGTTTATAATTAGCAGAAATCTATAAAAGCTAATTGTAAATTGTAAATCCCTACTTTTAAGCTGAAAAATATTTGAACTTGTGTTGAGATCACGTGGAAACAAATTAAGACAAACCTTATATGCAGAGTCAAATGTCTTTATTTCAGTGAGAATATGGGTATGATTTAATCGCATTTTGAAATATGAAAAACCTTTTTGTTTATTGGGTTTATTTGACTTCCTGATGACAATGTCAGCTTGAAAAAACAATCATGGAAAGCCAATAAAGACATTCTAATATCAGCCTTGCTTTGATCGCTGTAATCATATGTGTCAGAGGCATGCACAGAAGCTAAACTTTTGGCAATGCATTGCTCATGGATGAACCTGTGACACATTATCTCATTATCAGTACAGCAGGTTCACAGTGATGTGGCTGCAATGTTCAAGTGGAAGAGGAGGAAAGAAGTGAATGCAGTTCCAGTAGTCTTTGATCTTTAATCGTTTTAGCATGTTGCAAAAGGACCTGCAAACAGACAAGATAATATGTTTCCATAAGTCAACCTTAAATGTTTTTCAAAATGTTTTTTAAGATTCACATCCCACCCCCACCTCCCAAGATGCTATTCTATGCTAAAGCCAGTTTAGCTCTACAGTGCCTGTGTACTCACATTGATGAGTTCCTGGTCGTTTTTGGCATGCAAATGTCTGAGGAGGTACCAGCTGGCTACCTGCACCACGGTCACTGGGAAGTCCTGAGACGGAACAAACACCAGCCGCTCCAGCAGACGCCTGGTTTCCCTGCAGAGGACAGATGCAGAACAGTCGTGAACAGTGGTACATCATACCACAGAAATGGTAGAGAAATATTAAAAACGTCCCCTGCATATCTTTGTAGTGCAGAATACGCTGAAAAGCACAGACCTTGCAGGCATCTTCGTCACGTACTGCAGCAATGCCTGGAAAAGAAGGGCCACTGGGGACGAGCCCAGCTTCAAAACCTCCGTAGTGGCTTCCATCACCAGGTCCATCCAGTCGTTTCTGGGGACACCTGCCTAAGAGGTCAGAGCACACAGTGCTCAGTACAAAACGTTCAGACATGATCTGCACTTTCTGACCCCAAAAATGACAAACGTTATGATTTCTCTTTGGTGTCGTCTTATACAGACACTCACCATACAGGGTCCAAGAGCCAGCGCAGCGAGTCGAAGCAGGCTGGCTGCCTGGCAGCTGTGCAGGCCCAGCTGTGAGGCTAGCTGCAGACTCTGTCGGTAAGCCATTACCGCCTGGACCAGCAGGCCCTGGCTACGATACACCTCAGCCAGCCACTGCGTGAAGGAGAAAGGAAGCAAAAGGACACACAAAGGTTGTTTGAATTGGGGATAATTCTGAGATTTAAAGAGGGAGTTGGTGGAAAAGACACATCTTCATAGAATTATAATAAAGCATAATGATGACTTTTATCATAACAGCATTAAGAACCCAAAATTATGTTTGATAGCAAGAGGAAACTATTAGCTCTGTTGCTGTGTTATTGTATCTACAAAACAAACCTAAATAAATACTTGAATAATAAATAATTGGACAAAGCTGCTGAATGCATGTTGTGTGACCGACAATGTATATGAGCTAGCTTTAACAGAATGGAATACGAATACTGTGGCGATTTCCACCTCTGAAACTTACAGTGCTACATTTGTAGACACATTTATACGTGTGACAAGAAGTCATACACCATTAGTTTAAATGACGACCGGTGGATGCACTTACGTGCCATGCCCCGATGTTTGATGGGTTCATTATCACAGCTTTGTTGAGCTGCTCCAGTACAGGCTCTGAGAGGACCACGCCACTGTTTTCCATGAGTATACGATGGTACTGCACCTGTGTCAGTAACAGCATCACTGCTGGGAGTTCAGGGGACACACTGAGAACCTGGGACAAAGATGGCAAAGGCACATGAACATTCCCATTTCAGAACGTCGCTCTTATTTCATGCAGAGTGTGTCTGTTTTGCTGCTGACCTGGGTGCAGAGGGCCTCTGCCTGCTCCAGCTGTCCCTCCAGGGTCAGCCCAGTCACGGCCTGCTGCAGGACCCAGCCTTCCAGAGACTGGTCCAGAGGGCGCTCTATCTCCGCCACGCTACGCACTACCAACCAGAAATTTGCTCAGCTTTACACGCAAAAACAAAAGAAAAAAACAAACAGCCTCAGAGGGGCGGCACAGACGTGAACGCACCTTTCTCAGAAACCACTGACATGAGGGTGTGCTGTAGTGACCGCCTGCGGGGAGCAGAGCCGGAAAGGTAGCAGCAAGTGTTTTCAGTGTGGCAAGCGGCCATTAAGCCCGCCCAAGTGGCCGGGTCATCTGCAAAAAGAGCAGAATGAACAGATTATCAAGACGTCTTCACAAACGGGCACAGCAAGACTTTTCCACAAATGAATTTCCAGATGTTTCCACTGTTATCCAACAGTGAAACCTTCGGTTTTGGATGTTAGGTAAATTGTGTCAGCATGTGAGGGAGTCTGATGAGTTTATATGAGTTGGCCTACCGGGACAGAGCAGCACGGCTCTCTGCATAGTTTTCAGGGCATTTCTGCGACTGTCCTCTCCAGAATGTCTCCCATTAGCCAGCTGGTTCACTCCACTGTACAGCAATGCTTTCTGCAGTCACACAAGACAGAAGGGGTAAATATTTGTTTTTCGGACAAAGATGTGTGTACAATTGATACGAACAAAATGCATTTTAATAGATAAATAAGTTGGAGGACAGTAAGATAATCAGGTGAAAAACAGAGAATGTAACATGAAAATAATGATGGAATGCGATTAAATTTCCACCCAGATTTGTACCTTTCCTTGGGTCATACTGGAGAGACAGGCCACATGGCCAGCTACGGCACCACCCTGTAACACAAAGACACCAAAGTCATGAATAAAATAATTTTAACTGTCAGGCAGTAGCTCAACAAGGAATAATGAGACTGTTTAGTTCAAAGTGATACAATTAAATTGCCACTCAGGGTTTTCGATTGGAATGAGTCAGCCATGAGTGTTTAGATACCCACATTTGCCTTTCTAGGGTAGTATTGTGGTATCACTCTGGATAAAAGAGCCCAGAGAGATGGGTTTCCAGGATTTCTGTAACCAAAAAAGAGTTGAGGAAAGTCAAAAATGAAGTCTGAGTTTCAGTTGCTCTTCACTAAAGAGCAAGTCAATATATACCTGTGTACAGCTCTGGAGGCCTCTCTTTGGACAGCACTATAATTGCCCTGAAGAGCCAATAAGGTGCATGTAAGTAAGCACCGCTGCTCCACAACACTCCCAGAGGCTGAACCTTGCTTTAGCAGCTCAGTCAGGGCAGCAGCAGCTAGTGTGGCATCCCCCCGGACCAACCCAAGAGCACATAAGCACAGCAGGGACTCCGAGATGGGCTCCTTTAACACAGAACTACATGAGAAAAAAATATTATTAGGTAATACTAAGTAAGTTACAAGGTATTTTCAGTTTTCTGTTTCTTTAAAACTAGGAAGTAAACAAATAACTAAGTACAACAAGGTTAATAAAAAACAGAGAAAACGCACAAACAAACCTGATCTTGTGCAGACAGTACGATACACTTACCATTTAAAAAGCAGAGTTTTGGCTGAGTCCAGGTTTCCCTGCCGGTGCTGCAGCAGAGCCAGAGCGGTCAATATGTACGCCTTATCCTTCTCACTGGACGCCACGGCCAAGGCCCGTTCATACGCTGTCAGTATAGGCATACTTATCACTCACTGACTTTTTCCAAGTGCTCACCTAAGACATTCATCCTCCAGGAGTCCCCAGCTACATACCAGCGGTGCTTTCTTGGAAGAGTCCAGCCCTGCAGTAAGCCAGAGCCAGCCCAGCCAGGTCGCAGAGCTCCTGCAGAGGAGTAGAGTTAAAAACATGTACCGCCTCCTCCCATTGGCCCGAGTTACTGTAAAGGAAACAACAGGACATGGAAAAAGTGAGGTTTTCAATCTGCAATCCGTTTATTTGAGAAAGGGGAATCATAATGAGAGACGGGTTACCACAAAGCCCGGCCGTAGTTGGCAAGAGCAAAAGCCAGCTCCTCTGGAGAAGTCATGGGCCGCAGCAGTTCCACCGCCCTGAGCGGAGATTTCATATGGAGATGTGTGTGAAATCATGTTTCTATTTGCAAAATGACCTCTTGACATAAATCAGTACCTCTGGTATGCCTGTAAGGCCTGTCTCTTAAGCTGCAGATGCTCATTAAGGTAACCCAGCATAATGAAGGCCACGGGGTCAGACTGGATCCTCTCTGAGGAGCATGAACAAGAACGTCACAAGACAAAATGTTGCTGTAGACACAGGAGGCAATGTTGGGCTTCTGTGTGAACCTCAGCACACAAACGGACGCAGTTACCCGTGTACTTGCTGAGCGCCACATGAGCAGCAGAGACGGCATTCATCTGCACAATGTTGTAGCGGTACAGTTCAGAGTCTCTGTTGCTCTTATCCAGCAGGGTGGAACAGACCCAGAAGGCGTAGCCTTTCACTCCCTCCATCTGACAGAAAAAAAAAATAGAAACACTTAGGAGAGGACGGAGAGGCAGACGGTTCGAAAAATCAAGTGGAAACAACACAACGTTCTGAGGGCAGCAACAGCCAGCTGAGCGCTGAAACTGAGTGCAGTAAGAAAGGTGGTTATTATTGAGCTAATGGGTGGGTTATACAGGACATACGTGTGTGCTGAGTTCAGTGGTGTGCCTGAAAAGATCCATGGTGTCGTAGCTTCCCACGCTTTCAGCTATCAGCGCCTGAAATTAAGACGGATAAAGACAAAGGATTTCTTTCTTTAACTAAGCCTTACCAGTCCACACTCACCAATGAAAATGACATTCGATTTCACCGATATTGGAACATATACAATAAGTCATGTAATTAGCATTTTCCATGGAGAAAAGGCTTCCAATATTAGGTCATACATGTGTGCATTTAAGGGACATGCAGCTAAATCTCAGGTTTGTGCGTGAAAGCAATACAGTAGTAAAAAGACTTTAAAAACATGTTTGCGTCTTTAAGTGATTGTGTACCTGTCCAATCCAGCAGTTGACATACAATGGTTCCAAAGACTGAGCAATCTTGAAGGCCTCATGTGCAAGCTGTCACAATAATAGAAAAAGAAAGACTTTACCCACCTATATATAAAAAAAACAAACAAACAACTGAGTATGTGGGATAGGGAAAGTCACCCACCCCTATGTTGTCCTTCTTCAAATACAGGGTACCAAGGTTTGTCCATGCGACAACATTCTGTATTGAATATTTAAAAAAAAAAGTCACATGAAGACAGTAAAAAGACAGAAGACCGAAAAAAGACTGCAAAACAAAAATGTGAAGAACATACATTTGGCTCAACTTGTATGGACTTTATGAAGCAATGCTGAGCCAGAGCATAGTTCTCCAGACCTGATGTGACAAGACAAAACCGTGTTAGTCTCTGGCACGCAAACAGTGGCTGCATGTGGCACTCTGATGACCCCAACTTTCTCTGTAGTTCTAAAAATATACCACACTCCACTTATAGTGTTACCTTTGTTCATAGAAATCACCCCCAGGGCATTCCAGTAGATATGGTTACAGCTGTCTATCATGATAGCCTTTTTCAAACACTGGAAGAACAAAAAAAATCTTAAAATATACTTGGGGACAAACAATGTAAAACTGTTGTTCATGGTTTTTTGAATAACCTGCTGGGCCTTCTCAAGTTCCTGAGACGAATGGCTCTCGTCTCCCTCTGTGTGGCAAGTTTGAAGGTTGGCCTGGTGGTAATAGTTGAGTCCCAGATCATTCCAAAGGCTGGGAACCTCAGGCAACATCTTCAGAGCATGAGCATAGCACCTACAACAGACAAATACATACATACTGGTGAGCACTTCGTTTTTCGTCTTATGGATGTGGTAACCAAGGGCTACAGAGACCATTATGTCATTGTGTATACATCATCATGTGTCAGCTTTAGACTGATATACATCGTACCTTTCGCCAACTTTGAGCGTTTGAGCCTGGCTGAGTTTTTGACTCTGTGAGCTTGCGTCCAAACCGGCCAGTAGTGCCGGCACCAGAACCTGGGCTCTGTTTGGTGAAACGGAGCTAACTGCAGTACAAGCATCTCCAAGCAGCTTCCACAGACATGACAGGTCTGGTCGCAGTTTCACAGCCCTGAGGGTTACACAAGTGAGTGACACCGAAGATGAATGTCTGCAATCAGCATGGGAAAACAAATGATTTGCACAAAGATTTATAAATAAAGCTATGTTGGGTTATTGCCTGAAGAGGTTTTGAATGGCTTGCTGTATGAGGTCAATGGCTCCTCCATCCCGGCAGTCATTCATTAAGCCTTTTGCCAGAGACAGCTGGCACTCCCCAAGGCCTGAACAACACACCACATCCATCAAATTACATCTGCAGGTTAGCCCCCTGAAATCTACTAAAGATTACACCACATTCCATCAATCAAAGTGCAAGGCACTCTGAAAAGGGAATCCTACCTTTAAGGGCAGGAACGTAGTCCTGCTGTGCTGTGATTTGGAGATACTCTGCAACTGCCTCTTTAAACCTGCCCAGAGTCTGTTTGATGGCAGCTGCCTGGTAGACGCTGTAGATGGAGCTGGGCTGAAGCTGGTGGGCCTTGCCAAAAGCCTTCAGAGCTGCTGTGAAGCTCCGCCGGTTTAGGTACGCTTCACCTAAACACTCCCAACACACCCAGTCCTCAGGGTCTGCTCTCAGAGCAGCCTGCAAACTAAAAACATCAAGTACCATTAACAATGATAAGCATAGAGAAACAAAATGATAAATGTCAGGCATCAGACTGCCCCGGATGGGAAATGCTTACTCTGCTGTCGCCTGTTGATGATCTCCAGCCTTCAGGTAGTACAGACCTCGCCTTATCCAGGCCCATTTGGCAGAGCCTGGAGTGGCTTTCTCTATCACTGACTGAAGAGTGGTTAAGGCGGTGTCCTGTAGCGGAAAAAAAGGAGCTATTAAAATGTTTCAAAACCAGGGAAAAGGGTGAAGACCAAAAGAGAGGCGCCTGTTTGTCAAATATGGGAACAAAATAAATAACTATCGGGAAATGGAAGCTTTATATCCACCAAGTCAACTCACCATATCCCCCTGCTCCATACTGAGGTCCACCGAAGTGGCTCCGGACTCCTCATCCTCATCATTCAGCTGAAAGGCTTTCTTATAACAGCCCTGTGCACGGCCACGATCATTTGCCACCTCCCGGTAGTAATGCCCAAGGTAGCGGAACGCAGAGCCGAGCTGTGGATCTAACTTCGCAGCCTGGACAGGACAAATGATACTTCACCTCAGACCACGAAAAATCTGGACATTTCCAAACTAGCCCAACTGCACTGACCTTTAAGAAGTGTGTGTGAGCTTTGCTCCGGTCGTTACGGGTCTCTTCCCCCATGTCCCAGTAAAGTTTGCCGAGCATAAAAAAATAATCTGCGCTGCCTGGGCTCTGGTCTGCAGCCTTTAGAAAACTAAACGGTAGAACAGCAAGAGAAGCCTAAATCATGTACAAGCTCTGTGTAACACAAATAGATTATTTAATTGATGTAAAGAGCATGTTAGATAGTTAAACCGTGTTTTGTCTTGTTTTTTTATTTCTAACCTTTGCTCTGCCAGCTGCTGCTGGCCTTCAGCTAAATGTACCAGTCCTCTTAATGCCAATCCATGAGCCAGGTTTGGATTGGAGGCCACCAGCTCTGATGACAACTATGAAAAACATTATAATTTCGGTTACACCAACATCTAAGGCTGACAGTATAAGCTTTGTATTACTAGAAGAAATACTGCATTTTCTCTCGCTAGTAAACAAAAAAAATAGTTTAATTTATAGAATTCAGTGGATAAAAACTTTAAACCTTGAGTGCTTGATCAATCTTTCCCTTGTTGAGGTATGCACGTCCTTTGAGAGCTAACAGCACCGGGTCTTTTTCAGCTTCGGGAATCTAAAAAAAAAAATGGAGAAAAAGTTCCTCTCAAACTCTGCTAACATGGCCTTCAGACGCATCCAGATGCATACCAATGTGGAGACAAAAACTCCACCTATCAGTAGTTACCTGTGAAAATATCTCCAAAGCCTCATCAGCGGACTTCTTGTCTCCACTTCTCACTAAGGACTCTAGCCTCAGCCGGAGCAGTTTGATCCTCAGCTTCCCATCTTCAGCAGTACATGTGTTCAAACCTAGAAAAAAAGAAACACAAATGTGTATTAAAAAAAAAACTATCATTAAAGTAATACCCTGTGTTTTGTGTCTGGGTAAATCTACCTTGGGAACATGATGCAGCGCTATCTGTGTATCTGTGCACTTTCACTTGAGCCTCAGCCAGACTGTACCATCCTGCCGATGAGCTAGTTGTCTTTAGTCCTGATAAGATAGAACAGCTTAGTTAAGGAAAGCTACTGCCAACCATCTAAACATCAGAAACTGCGAGTAAGTGCACATTTTTGTATACCGAAACATGTTTTTTTAAAAATGTTTTGAAAACCAACCTTGTTCTAGTTCGTTAACAGCTTCCTTATACCTCCCTTCTTGCAATGCCTTGGTACCCAGACCCAAGTGCCCTAATCCACTCTTAGGAACCAGATCCAGGAGCTGGGAGAAGCAGCGGACTGCATCCTCATCCATGTTACCTATGGATATAAATACAAGATTTTCAATGCCATCTAGATCATCGTAATCATGTATCTCTCTACTATTCAAAGCCATAGAATCAGAGCAAGTTTTAGTAGCCAAGAATTAGCTTTGCACAGTTTAGAATGGATGCTGTTCCTTCAGCTGTGTCTTACCTGTTTTGATGTAATGGCCACAAAGGATCTCAAGTGGATAACTCCGGTTGGGGTAGAGGGACAGCATGGACTTACATGCCTCTTTCATTTTGGCCTCCTCGTGTGGCAGCTGCAGTAAAGCAGATGTAAAATAAACAGGGTAACTGAACGCATCAAAAAGCAAAAAGACCTTTTGATGCTTGCTTAAATGTTGGGAAGATTAGGGAAACATAAGCAAATATACACTTACTTTAGAAAGACATCTAATGTAGTCAGCTGAGACCTTCTGGTGTCCTTCTCCTGGAACAGGTTCCATGAGAGCCAAGGTCTTCTCTAAAGCCATAATCAACTGATAGTTGGAAAGAAATCAATGGCATGGAGATATATATAAAAAAATAGAGTGAAACAATGTCTGTTAGGAATAATTAGAAAATCTAACTATTGTCACAGATTAGATTACAGTTAATAGAGTCACATGTGTCACAAAGTCTTTACACATAAGGATAAAACACTTCTCAGGTTAAGCCCACATTCTCAAAGGTCTTACATGCTGCTGAGTTTCATTGTCTTGTTCTCCCTCATCAAAGCAGTTTGAGAGAAGCTGGGTCATCTGTTGCAAAAGCTGCACCAACTCTTTCTTATCCACAGCCTCTTCCTCCTTTAGCTGAACCAGCTGCAGCCACACCTTTGCCAACTGTCCGGAAAAAAACAAAACAGATAAAAATATCACTGCGAGGAAGAGCATGGAAAACTTTTTTTTCCGGTGTGCCTTAAAATGCACATACCTTTAAATATTCCTTTTCAGACTGATAAATATCGGACAGCTTTTGGATCACTTCATAACATTTGATCTTATCCGAACTGTGAATAGAGAATGTAATGAAAGTCAGTAGCACAGCTAAAAAACATTATTTTCAAAATACATTCAATCTTAACTATAGCTTATGATGACATTTTTGGGGAAAAAACATGGATTTTACCTTCCATACAGGTCGACAAGCTTCTGGTAGACATTTGGCAGCTCAACTTTGAAATCCCACTGATCTGTCTTTTCATAAAGATTTGCTAAACCCTTCAACAAAACAATTATCGACAAAGAATATGAATGCAATGCAACGGGAGAAAAACATTTGAAAAAATCATGGACCAATTTCTAAGAAAAATGGAACCCAGTCATAATGTGAAGGCAAATTACTGCACAATTCACTAAAAGCAAATCAATTGCCCCAAGTGTAAATTCTTTGAGTATTAGTTCCATAAAATATCTGAATGGAGCAGCCTGTACCTGCCAGGCCAGCAGCTGCTCCGGCTCCAGCTCCACTGCTTTCTTGTAAGCCGTCTGGGATTGATCTGGTTGCTCCAATTCACTGGCAGCCAGGCCGATGAAAACCCATGCATTGTAATTGGTCTTCTCAAGTTTCAAAACCGTCTGAAATACAGTTACAGGAAACAAAGTAATTTATCCAGTATCATATTTACTTTCATTGCACCTCTGAGTATTATAGTAAGATAAAATTCACCTTGCAATGCTTCAGGGCCTCTTTGAATTCTTTGTTTTTAATGGCCTCTCTGGCACATTTAAGTGCGGCTTTCACTTCCTTATTGGACATCTGCAAGACACAACAAATACATGGTAAGGCATTGACTGGAAATATAAAAGCAACCCCTCTGATGGCAGTTAGTCATTAGCTACGAAGGATTTCCAAGCAAGAAATCATCAGTATGAATAAAACATAGACCTTCATGGACTTATACATTTAAACAAGTTATGCATGGTAGAAAATACTAAAAATTGTCAAGTTTACGCTGTACTGGTAATTTACCAGACGATTGGTGGCATTAGCATTTGCCGTCAGTTGACATGGTGAAAATCTAAAAAATGTAAACAATAGACTTGCTTTAAATTCTTACTTTGAAAGGAAAAGGTTTGCTTTGTTTTTTGTTAAACTGAAATGCCCATTTAGGTTTTGTAGAGTTTGTGTAGAAGTTGTGACCACTTACTGTTTACGTTGGCCACTTCCGCTATCACTTGCATGACACGGAAGTGAAACTCAGTCACCATGGTGGATCTTCAAAGTAAAGGCACTGTCTTCTGCACGCCGAAAAATTCAACCCGACTGAGAGGCGTTTACGCATTAAAAAAACTGGACAGATCATAAAAATTTTATTTATTGAAGTTTAAACACATACGGAGAAATTAGTTTTTAAATACAACATTGCAATTCAAGATCCCACTGATAGATTAAAAAAATATCCATGTTTAGTCAAATCTCAAGTCATAAAACGCATATGTCATGAAAAATACTCATAGGTAACATAACTAAAACAAAATAGTGCAATTCCAGCTCATTGAGACACACATTTTTACTGCCAAATAGTTTTGCAGTTCTTATGATGATCCATACAGCCATGTGTCAATAGCTTTCTCGTTGTTAAATACATCTTTTTGCCAGTCTAGATTCCACCTGAGGTTAGCAATAGCCTGGCTGTAGTTTCTCCCCAAACTATTGCGCCATGCACCAAATGCCTTCTTATTGTAGAGATGAACAGCCTTAGAGATTTTTGGATAATCTACAATGCTAAGTAATAGCTTGTCGAGATGTGCCTGAACATCTGGGAATTTGAGAGCGACGTTGTGAAGTTCATCCTTATCCAATTTTAGGTCTGAAAAAGTAGTAAAGAAAAATGACAGGGCACTAAAAATTGAACTTACTGTCTTTTCCTGTGTAAATGTCTGAGACTTTGACTCACCAAAAAGTTGTGGAGGGACGCTCAGCCCATCGGCATATGCAATGTATTTCCACTTGCCAGTTCTCAGCATATATGTAGAGGCATTAACATTACAACCATGGTATTCACTTAGTACCCAGTCTGAATGCTGCTTCTCAGGGAAATCATTAGATTTGGATATTAAAGGAAGAAGCGAGTGGCCACTTAAGTTGCCAGGAGCTGAAATGCCAGCAATTTCTGCAAAACAAATTAATAAATGGTTTATATCAGCTTATATTGAAAACAATATCCCTTATTACTTTGCGTTTCCATTGTGCTTTCTTACCAAGCACGGTAGGATAAAGGTCGACCAAAGACACAGGCTGGCTGAGCTGAAGGCCAGACATTATCCCAGGTCCCATGATGAGCAGGGGGACATGGGAGCTGCCTTCATACATTGACATCTTGTAGAACTGCCGGTGCTCCATGGCTAATTCTCCGTGGTCAGCCGTGAAGATCAACACTGTGCTGTTGAGCAGCCCCGTCTCTCGCAGAGCAGAAATCACCTGACCTGGGGAGACAGATGACGTGGGAGACCCGGAATGATTCAAACACATGGCCCATACCCTACCACCCTAAAGAGTTTGTTTAAATATGTATAAAGAGATTTAGAAAAGTCTGATTAGGCAATGAGATTAAAAAGATAGTTTTATCCATCATGTTGTTGTTCTCTTCTTTTTGTGATGTACACAGTAAATGGAGATTCACAACTGCTATATAATAAATAAAAAACATTTCAGCTATCATTGAGGCATGAAGAATATACTCTGCTTACAGGCCAAACTTTTCTTTTTACTGTGCCCAAAAAAACACAAACTAGCTTTTTTATTTGAAGTGTATTTGTTCCTTACTTGTGGATTAAGTCATATTGATTGCCTTTAGTCTTTAAATTTAATTGTTAGAAAACACAGACATGCCGAAAAAATGCCTCCTTGTTCATGATGTCCCAACATGTTACGATCTGTTTTAGAGGAATCAGCACGAAAAGAACAACTATTTGAAACATTTTGCGTGTGTATGTGTGTGTGAGGGTTTTGTACACTACATTTGTGAGCCTTAACAAAAGACAGCCTTGCTACGTTTGAATACAGATAAATGAAAACAGGATTCGGTTCAGAATGGTCCAGTCCCTCGTGGTGATATCAGCCTCTGGTAAATGATTGTAATCAACTGACCCAGCATGGCGTCTGCTTCAGCACACATGGCGTAATAGAAGGCCCGGACGCTTTTAACTTCTTCCTCAGTGAAGGCCCCGCTGCAGTTTTTAGTGAAAGTGGAGTAGTGATCAACAGGGTGCATGGCAGCCAGTGGCAGCCACTTGGGAACGGAAATGAGCTCAGAAGACACCTGTTAGACAGTAACCAATAAAAGACCTTGCATTTGTATTTGTTATTTAGCAGCAATGGGAAGAGAAAGCATGCAGACCAGGAAAAACAATGCGTGCCTTTCTGAGCCAGTACGGTGAGCTACGGAAGGTGGATCCACCTGCCGTGGGCCCCAGAGAGTCGGTTCTATAGGGATGAGGTAAATTTAGGCCAAGGTACAGAGCAAAGGGCTGGTCTGGGAATGCAGCAGTCTGACGGATCCACCGTGTGGCTTCATCCGTGTTTTTCCAGTCTTTCTTCATGACCCTGGCGGTTGTCGTATTCCCAACGAGTTGGGAAACAGGACGGCCCTCTTGGCGCAGGAGGAACGGAACATCTCGTGTCCACGCCTCAACACGGTTACTGCAAAAAGCGGCAAAAAAAGAAGAAGTGGAAAGAGGCATGTGAAACACGTGTCAACTAAACACAGCTTAAGGCAGAGCGTCACAGAGAGCTGCGTTTAATGGGTGGACGTTTGTAAAATGTCGGCCATAGTGTTCAACAGAAATAGGGAAAGGTAAGTTAAAGCAATTCTCTGAGATGTTAACAGACACGCTTTCCCATCTCATTAATGTTTGCTTACCTTACAGAGTGACTTCCCGAGGTAAAATCCAGCTTTCCAATCATCTTAGTTCGATATCCATTCCTCTCCAGCACATCCATCCATGTGGTTGCGTTTGCATCGAGACACTTGTAGTTGTTCCATGACTGAGTGAGGTGGACAAACTGACCGCTCCACATTGCTGAGAACAAGGTGAGTACAGTACTTACCACACGGCATCTTCAATCACAGGAATCTCAGAGGCGTTTTTGTAGGACACTCACTTACCTGCTCTTGAGGGGCAACAGATGGGTGAGTTGGTGTAGGCATTAAGGAAGGTGGAGCCAAGCTCCCTGAGGTAGTTTAGATATGGCAGATGGACAACTTTCCTGAGTGGATCGAAGGACAGTCGGCCATCCTCAAGAAATACACACACACACACTTATCTCAACAAGTTTGACACAATGTTTCAATTTTAAATTATATTTCTGTTGATATTCCATTTTAATAATGTCAGCAATGTGTGTCTGTTCATTCCATCTCTTTTAAGCAGAGGATGTCATGCAGGTACTGTGAAGTTCATACTTACAAATGCATCACTCATCACCATCACTATGTTGGGACGGGCACTTTGGCAAACACTCAACCCAGCAAAACTAACCAAAACCAACCAGTACAGAGTCATAACGTCAGTTCAGCCCCTACAGTTCTAAGAGCTTGCCGTTTCATCGGAATCCGATTCATCTGAAAACTGTTCCTTATGTCCACAGAGAGTAGTTTACTTCGGTTTATCCACATCCTGGTTCAACTTTCAAAATAAATATTTTCTTAAAAATAACATCACGCCCGAGTCAAACAGAAAACCCAGTCTAAAGACATATATACGTGTCTTTTAAAATCAAGACACCCTTTCAAGAGCAATACAATAATCCAACAGATAAAATATCAAACTTTCTCATTTGACAACAAACAACTTTTTTTGTGTAATGACTAAGATCCCACTCAAGAGGGCAGCAGCCATCCACACACCAGAAACTCCTGCAGGTTACATAGTTTGGCTGAGATGTGCTGCAGTCATCACTACTGTTGGGGAGAATCGTTTCATTGTCACAGATATGTTTGTTAACAACTAAATATTTATTTACAGCAGTGACTATCTCCATCAAATACCCCCATGCTTTTCTTCTCAGCACCAGGAGAAGCTTTGCCTACATCAGAGCTAACATCATATTTGTTTGATCATATATTAGTTTTAGATATTCATTCAAACATCATCAAGTTCCAATGGCCGGATCTTGTAATTATGAATACAGAAGTAATGGGCATCGTTCATTTTTGAAAGCAACTGACATAAGTTGTTGTGACGTTCAACAGGTAATACTGCAGCCTCCATCAGAATCCCTATAGTCCACAGGGTGGCGTTCTGAGCCTCAGAGTTGTTTTTCTTTAAACTGGGTGCTCAACACAATGAGGAAAATTCATCCTTATATGTGTGTATTTCTTATTGTTGACGGGAACGCAGTATGCGTGAAAGATGTGTCTATTTTACACACTGTCCGCCTATTAAATCATGGCAACATAATGTATCTAACAATGCTGCATATTCCTGTAAAGCAGGCATCATGCAGAAGGCTCCCCATTTGTCTTATAGTGCAAAGGCATGGCAGTGATTCCAGCTAAAGGAAAACATGGTGTGAAACGGGGTTTGGAACTGTGCCCTCATAAAAAAGATTATGGTGTGATTTCGTGTCGTTATTCTTGCAAGAAAAGAAATAAAAATGGGATGATATATAACAGATGCATAGGATCAAGTGTGGTTGGCGTCCATTAGGTGTATTTTAGATGCTACGGGCTGGCAATAAGGAATAAAACCTTAGTCATGAGACACACTGCAGCGACTATTTCTTTGTGTAATCTTTCAGCTGTTTGATCATACTTGTAGTCTAACTGTGCACTACCCTCCTGCCTTGTTCCAGAAGGCGGAAGGAGGGGGCAGTGCAGTCTTGCGCATGCGCTCAAAGTTGTTTTTCACCCAGCCTGGCGTTTAAAGTGAGCTGAGTTAGAGGGGTTTCCTCGTCTGTGACTGGAGACCGTCAACCACAGAGGTGGGTGATAACAGCATCCGTTGCTGTTACTCAGCCTTTACACAGCTCAATGAACTGCTCGCAAAGAAGCCACTGATCGTGCCTCCTGCTTTTTGCAGGGCAGAGATACTGATCAGTGTCTAAAAACTGCAATCCTTTTTTTCCTATGAGATTATTTTTTCATAGACTACCTTTTTTAGCTTTCAAGGTCTCTGTAGCCTGTCTCCTTCCGCCATGGTGCTAGGAAAGGTAAAGAGCTTCACAGTAAGCTACGACTGTCTCAATGACAGCAATGTCCCCGTCTTCTCGAGCGGGGACAGCGTCTCAGGGAGGGTGATCATCGAAGTCACGGGAGAAATCCGTGTGAAATCTCTCAAAATCCACGCGAAAGGTTTTGCAAAAGTTCGTTGGACGGAGTCAAGAAACGCTGGATCCAACACTGCCTACACGCAAAACTACACAGAAGAAGTGGAATACCTAAACCACAAAGATATTCTTATTGGACATGAAAGAGGTAAGCGAAATTTCATGGTTTATTCCGGCTTAGGTTTTGTAGAGACTGTGATGCTCCCCTCGCCGTTCGGGGGATTTCAGGCTCACTGAAAAAATGCTGTTGCGTGGGTTGATAACAGCTAAATAACTACCATTAAAGTTGGAAAAGTTGAATGTCGTTGCCTTACGCTTGCAAAGCCTTCACATTTTATGACATTGTCAAAATGCATCTCCATCCCATCGTTGCTTGTTTGTGACCAAGGTGTCATCAGAATGAATGACAGCTGCTCGGGCATCCGTGTCTTTAATCGTAAATATTCTCCAAAATGAGAATAATGGTGGTTTTCTAACCGCTGTGGGAAAAAGCAGACACTTGTGGTGACGAATGTGCGGCTTTGTCGGGAAATTTCATCACAAAACGGCCTCACATAGGCTCTTTCTTTGTAGCTTCTCGCAAGTTTCCACCTATTGTTCAAAGCGGTTCAATCCTGTTCAGAAAACTGGACCGAGAGGGGGCGGGGCGAAGCTCAAGCCGCTCCGTCTCGGGCGTCGTGATTGGCTCAGGTGCTCGTGTGTGGCGAGTGACATCATAATCTCCCAGACTGACAGGACGCTCTGCAACTTTTTAATTACGACAACAGCTGCATAAAGCGGGCCGCTGGATGCGTTTGCAGCTAAAATATAGACGTATGACTGATAACGGGGCTTATATGTCACCGTCCCTTTCTTAACGTGTCCCCCTCTGCGCGGCACACGTTCCGATAAAGCTCAATATCATGTTAAGGCTTGTCGGCGGCAGCTTAACTGAAACAGATACTCTCTACACGGACAAATATATCGTTTTTAAAACAAAATTATTGTCGTGACCCCATTTTTCGGTGTCTGAGGGTGTTTTAGAACCGGGCTGGAGGTTCTCGAAGCACAGCTAGTCTCGTAGTAGTGACTGCAGCTAGGCGTCGCACAGTGAATGCGTAATGAGCCCTGCGCGCGCCGCGGCTGCTGGAGGCTGCTGGAGGCTGCTCGCACCGGTTTAGGCCGGTCTCCTCCTGCTGGAGTCTGCCGTTTGACTGACAGCCCCGCACTTGTTTACCACACGGTTGCTGCTGCTGCTGCTGCTGCCCGGGGGGAGGGATTGCTGAGCTGGCATAAGCAGCATTTAAGCAGCACACCCGGTTTCTCCACATAGCCTTTTAAACGAATAAGCGCTTTATGTTGCAAATGACAATTTATGCTTCACGTCGATGCCTTTTCGTCGAGGCACTTTGGAGCGGGTCGAAAACACTTTGAAAAAAAGACAATTTTATCTGAGTATGATGAAGAATTTTCTTGTCCTATTTTCCAATTCTCTCCCACCCCCCTTAGACCCAGATATCTTTTGACTGTTTTTTCTTGTCGGTGGTTGCCCCATTAAAGCTTATGGCTTTGCTTTACTGGGATGTAGTTCTTTGTTCGAGTAAATGCTAAATCCCATCCAGTCATTTTCTGGCACCCCCAAACTATCAACTTCCTCCATGTCCTCAATAGTACCCTGATGTTTGTCTCTCAATACATTAAATAATTTATCTCAGAACGAGTTTATAGTAAAATCCGTTTATTCTCTTCTGTCTCCCCCACCCTGTTTTTTTTTCTTTTCTTTTTTTTTCTGTTTTCTTTGTTTTGTTTTGGTATGACTTTCAGATGCCTTCGTAGAGCATTTTGTCCAGGTATGGTATACATGTGTTTGGAATATTGTCCTTGTTTTTCAGACGATGACAACTCGGAGGAAGGACTCACCACTATCCATTCAGGAAGACATGAGTATGCATTCAGCCTCGAGCTTCCACAGACGTAAGTCTCCTCATTTGAACGAGACACTTAATTTTGCATCTGCATTCTACGGTTATCACTAACCTCCTCTTCTCCACACCTCCTTTTTGCTCTCCCATCCAGACCTCTGGCTACCTCTTTCGAAGGGAAGCATGGCAGTGTGCGCTACTGGGTAAAAGCAGAGCTTCACAGGCCATGGCTCCTGCCCATGAAGACCAAGAAGGAATTTACCGTTTTTGAGCACATTGACATCAACACTCCATTATTGCTAGTAAGTTCCCCTCAAGCGCCCCCGCTTTTTTGGAGAACCTTTTGTCTTACTGAGGCATAACTGTAAGAAAACGGAGCATAACTGTAGCATCACTCAATCTTGACATGATTTTATTTGATATTTTGAGGCACTTTTGGATTTTTTAAATGATTAACTGTTAATGATATTGTACATATCCTTTGTGATTGGTCATAAGTGCATGAAATTGAATTTATTTTTCAATAATGAATTTTTTTATTTATTCTTCCCCTCTCTAGTCACCACAGGCTGGCACTAAAGAAAAGACGCTTTGCTGTTGGTTCTGTACCTCAGGTCCTATTTCCCTAAGTGCCAAAATTGAAAGGAAGGGATATACTCCAGGTGAGAGCATACAAATGATCTGTTAACATTTCTGTTATCTATTAACCTGATTAGTCAGTTGAAGCATTTTACAGGTTACTGTTTTCATTAGTCGTTAAAAACACACCTTGGTCTTATGATAAGTGTTTTTCATGACTGTAAAGATGCTTCTTTTAACCTGCGTTGTGTTTTACTCCTGTAGGAGAGTCGATCCAGATCTTTGCTGAGATCGAGAACTGTTCTTCCCGAATGGTAGTGCCAAAGGCAGCCATCTACCAGACTCAGACCTTCTATGCCAAAGGGAAGATGAAGGAGGTCAAGCAGCTGGTGGCCAACCTGCGGGGAGAGTCTCTGTCGTCGGGCAAAACGGAAACCTGGAGTGGCAAGATGCTGAAGATCCCACCTGTCTCGCCCTCCATCCTGGACTGCAGTATTATCAGAGTGGAGTACTCCCTCATGGTGAGTACACCTTCTTATTTGCTATCACATATTGGTTTTAAGACCACTGACGTCAACTGAGGGCTTCTACCTTCACTGCAGTCTCTGAAGTCTGTAGTTTCACTGACTCGGCTCACACAGGCAAATCTGGTCCTTGGATTGCACCAGTTGTTATCTCCACATGCTGCTAAGAGCATTAACCTGAAATATCAGTGGCAACACCTGTCCCATGGGTGCTAATAACCTCCTTACCCTACTCTACCTTGTTTAAGCAACTGACCTTGCACCACTGACCCACATGCTGTCCAGCTATTGCCTAATGCGTAGGATTGGTCTGTTCTAAAGCGGCTAAAGTCTAGTCATGCCACCTTCACTGATTCTTTTTTTCCCCCATGCCTTTGAACTAGTAACAAGTTCTAAATTAAACTGTTCTCAGGTTTATGTGGACATACCTGGGGCAATAAACCTTTCCCTAAACCTGCCTCTGGTCATCGGAACGATCCCTCTCCACCCATTTGGATCTCGCACCTCCAGTGTGAGCAGCCAGTGCAGCATGAGCTGGTTGGGGATGGGTCTTCCAGAGAGGCCTGAAGGTAGCTAGCATCTAATTGATATGACTGAATTGTATTTATATTTGTATTTAGTTTGATGTAGTTTTTTATTTATACAAATATAGTTTGCATGAATGCTGAAATGTTTCTTGTTCCCTTTCAGCTCCTCCAAGCTACGCTGAAATAGTGACGGAGGAGCAGAGGCAGATCTGTCTGGATGTCCCGGCCGTGCGAGAGGAGCTGGAAGGACCTCTGTTTGCCTATATTCATGAGTTCCGCTTCCAGCCGCCTCCACTGTACTCTGAGGTAAGCACCAAAGCAAACGCTTGTTTCCTGTTTCTTTCACGGAAGACTCTTCACACATAACCCGCCCGTCTTTTCCTGTTTGTCCAATCCAGATTGATCCCAACCCGGATCACGTCAGACGCACAGAGGAGCGCAGACTCGACTCCTGTCCATCCCGCTGAGCTCAAATTCCTTCTCCTTACTCGGGGAACCGAAAAAGAACCTACGCTTGCAACGCTCGGCTTAGAACATTTTTCTCAGATAACAGCATTCGAGTAATGCCGTTGATATCGGGAGAAAAATAAGAAATCCAACCAACAAAAACTTGTCCAATGTTGAGTTGGATTTGGACAAATCTGTTCCTGCCTTCCCTCCGAGAGAGAAACCGGAGTCTAGTTCGGGGCATCACTTCCTTCCTGTGTCAACGTTCTGAGGGGGGGTGGGATATGTGCAGATGAGCACACTGTATGGGGAATTACTCCCACTAGAGGCCAGAGCCCCTTTGATGGTCTTAACGAAGAACCATCAGGGCTCTGCCCGCCAAGTTCCTCTTTGCTCATTTAAAAAGAAAAAAGAAAAAAAATTCCTCTTACACATGGCACATAAGGACGTGACTCCTGACACGGCGGGTGGGACTAATCCTGTCCAAACTTCAGTAGAATTACCTTAACCATGAGATGAAGAGAGACAAAAGTAACAACCTTCTAAACTCTATAGTCTGGGTGACCGGTGGCTTTCAGCAGCAGTAAACAGCACAGCGAAGACTAGGCCCTATAGCCTCATTTAGGATTTTGTTTTGCACATTTTATTCTTTACTTGAGTTGCATGGCTCTATTTAATGAGAGTATGTTTTCTCTCTTTTTCTTTGGTTTTAAATCACTAATGGTTTGGTTTCAGCTTTGCAGGCCGTCGCATTGAGAATATTAGACAGCAGACTTAACAACTTTTGAGAATACATCTGCACAAAACTTTGAGCAATGCTGAGAACAGGATTCTTTTTTTTTTTTTTGAATAACAAAAGACTGAAAAGTAAGAAATGCACTGAATTTGTTTAAGCTTTTAAAACTTTGTTGTTTTTTTTGTTTTCTTCCCACGCAGTGACTAAATAGCTAGTTTGGAGTATTACCACAACTGTACAACACTATCATTGTGTGGAAGTTCTTGGTGTTACTTCCAAAGTTTAGATTTATTTGTGATTTCCTTCCTTTTGTGTAGAGTTTTTGTTATCCTAATCTTGTGTTTAGCCTCAGTTATTGAATAGCTTTTAGCTCTTTTTTTTTTTTTTAGTTGTAAGGTTGCTCCGGATTGGGACTAGGGGGGCTGCAGTTTGCCACTCAAATATCAGCGGACAGGAAGAGTGTGTCTTTGTGTGTTTGTGTGTATGAGTAAAAGTCACTGGGCGACGCATAGTGGAGGGACTCGCCCTTATTGCCTGCAGCCCCTCTACTCCTTATCTCAGGGCCAGCCAGGCTTTCATAACTGCCCAAAAAGCACGGTCTCAGGTGGTTCTCTCACTTGCCAAGTGGTTGGAAAAAGGGATTTAAAAAAAGAAAGAAAAAAGGTTGTTGTTTTTTTTAAGTTGCACTGTTAGAAATATTTGAACTTTCCTTTTTTTCTACCTATTTTCAACAACCATATTGAGAGAACAGACCTAGACAGAAGCAAGGCAGCTGTCTGGTATGAATCACATTCCCTTTTTGTCCCACTGCTCCTGCCTACTGCATTCAACCAACACAGATTTCTATCAGACCAGTGAAACCAGAATGCAAGTTGTTTAGAAAAAGACAAGAAAATAGTGAAAAAAGAGAAAGTGGTGTGATCTTGCTTATTCCTTTTTTGAAATTTTTTTTTTTAAAGAAAAGCAAACCCAGCACAGACAAAATGCTGGAGACGGTAAACCTCTGTTCAGGCTGGTCAGAACAAGTAGTCGTAGGTTGCAATGAGTAATACATTGGTTTTCAAACTCATTCAATAAAAATGACCACCTTTCACAGAGGTTTCACACAGTCTCAAACATGAAAAAAGCAGCACTTTTTTTCTTATAAAAAAAAAAAAAAAAAGCATTCTTTGGTGAAGGTCTGCCATGAAATGAGATGGTACTAATGTGATAACGGGGGTTTGCAGTAAGGCAGTGTGGTGTAGGACTCGATACATTATTCAGTCTTTTTAATATTGGTAACTTTTTCAAGTTTACATTTGAAACGTAGCTAAGAAAAGTTTGTGTGCACGCTCTTATCAAGATCCTGCTGGCAACTAAATTACACAGCAGTAATCGACGAACTGCAGATTGTTAAGTGATCTTAACCTAGTGGCCTTGATGCAGAGGAGACCTGATTCTTTTTTTTCTTTTTTTTTCCTTGCGTTTGTCAGCACCTGTATGTTTTGACCTTTCTGTGTTCATTCAAAAGGACAAAAAGGGAAGAAAAAAAAGTCCTTTTAAAGCAAGTGTTGTTTTACTAAAGCATTGAGGTGTTCTTCTGAAACCGATGAGGGTCGAGTTTTTTTTTTCCTGTTATTTTTGGGCATTCATGCGGTTGTTGTTTAACAACCTTTTGAGTTAGGCTCTGACTTACCCGATTTTCCCCCTCAGGTCTGGGGGCAGCAGCTGTTGATCAGCACCTTCCCACCCCTGAGATATTTAAGTAACGGGGTAGTAGACATAACAATTCCTTGGTGGTAAACTAGTGTTTATAGCTGTTTGCAGTTCTTTGTTTGGATTTTATTTTAGGGAAACTGAATCAAGCTATGCGATGAAGAATAAGCTTACATATTTGTTTCAGGTTGCTCATATCCATAGTCCAGTTGCTTGGGCCTTAGAGTAGTCCAGTGTCAAAACTAAGCTAAATCCTGACCTGTTAATAAAGGCAGGAACTGAAATGTTCAGAGATAAAGAACCTGGGTAATGGGATCTGAAACATTTTAGAAACAAAGTGCAATATTACTCACTGAATTTTCTTCATTCTCCATTTGTATGTTTTTATCTTATTGTTTTGTCTGTTAATCATGATGATGTATAGATATTCTATGAATATACTATGTTCTGAATGATTCAATGTTTGTCTAGTTCTTCCTTTTGATTTGAATAAACATTTTGTTCAAAATTATTATGGATACTGTTAATTATTTCTCCCCACTGGAGTGAACTTGGTAACAGATGCACAATCCCATCTAAGCATTTGTCTTTATAATCCTATGTATTGGAATGGGTGTAAAGTTTTCACTATCTCACACTGGTTATCTGATGCAATCAGAGTTAAATGGAGATTTAGAACTATACAAAATTATGAAATGATAAAAATCTTAATGGTTCAATTGCGTTTTAGAAGAGCACAGGTTGCTCATCTCCCAAACATTTTTTTATTTAGAGCAACACTGCCCCTATAGGTTGTGAAGGAAGCAGCACCTGAGCGATCCGCATAATGGCAGCACTCAACCAGTCAGTGCCCTGACCAAAAATGGGCTAAAATAGAAACTGCAATCAAGACACCGGCATTGAAAATAGTTTCCAAAGGCTATGAGAGCTAATCTTTTCAGAGAGGAAATTCCTTTTGAGAAAAAGGGTAGGCAAATAATGCTCATCTCATTCTAAAAGTATGTTTTTTTCCTCCACTTATGACCAAATACTTTGTCTGTGTTGGTCTGGATAGACTAAATTTTCCAGGGTTAAACTGTGGGAATGATTCAGAGGAGTAGCTGGGATAGAGATTTGAAGTTTTCCCCAAAAAATCAAATTACATGTTAATTACAGCTTCTTTGTTTCCGTGGTACAGAGTGCCCAAAAATCTACTTTGAATCTTCTGACTGTGTAAGACACATTTTGATCTACTTCTATCAAACATCAAATCCAGTTTGTGAAGTAGTGGGCAAACTGTCAAACTGTTATGTACTCTTAAAACATTGCAGTACGCTTGAATCTGTGATGTAATGTTTAAAAACGGAAATCCATCTGGTTTTTACTTTTAAAAATATTTAACATAAATTCTGAAACTCTTTTCTTGGAGGTTTAATTAAATCTAAAGTGACTTTATGTCTGATCCACAGCCATGTAGAACCTAAGCCACGATTAATCGGCTCAACATGCTCACTGTCATTGACATGGTGTCCTGCTTTAAAGGCATTAATGTAAGTCTCAAATGTATTTTCTTTCTAATTCACTCTTGTGATTTATACATAAATTGTTCAAGCTTTGTTTAGCCACACTTTATGCTCTGTGTTTTTTGCACTGTGTCCTGCCTTTGTGCAGTTATAATGTTAAGCTCTTACTGTCACCTAATAAGATGCACTTCACATTTTGAATTGTTTGCCAATCTTAAGTGGCGGGAAAGCCTTGATTGTGTCAGGCTCAAGTGAAATGTTGGAGTGATGTAATTTAATGTAAGCTGTTTCTGCTGTAATCAGGCCTCTTCTCGGTCTGGTAACCCATGACCCAATTATAATGTCTGTTTTCTGAACAGTCAATCAATCTATTTGGCTCACACACGCGAATGCCAGTTTTATACAGATTGATTTTTTTTGTGGAAACTATGAGCATGTATGTATAATAGAATGGCAGTATGTGTGAATAACCACATTGTACTGTACTCTACAGCATCCCATTGAAAGAGCAGCATGGACAATACAGAGAACAAAAAAGTGTCAACCATTTAAAACTGCACACACAAACTTTAAAGTTTTTTAGACTGAGAGCTCATCTTTGTCAAATGAACCAAATCTTTTATGCTTTACTGTTCGAATTATTGTGAAAACTTCATATGCAATATCTTTATGAAACAGCTTCAGTGATGACTCAGCAGCTCTGCTAGCTTTGACCCAGCACTTCAGTCCTGCTCTATATCCCCTGGCCCCTTTTGACTTTTGTGGGCATAGGCCTTTGTGTGCTTGTGACCCCTATAGACTGAAAAAGAAGTGTGAGGGGGATTATTGAGGTGGAAGTATAGGTTGTGGTAACATGTATGAGCGGGGAGGGAGCAAATGCTGACGCTACACAGGCCTCAGCTGTTTCCTCTTAGCAGTTAATCCCACTACCCAGAAGCCTCAGTGATCCAGAGGTTCTCAGCGGCTTGGTGTGACCATGCATGTTCAGTATGGCCGGGGACACTTGGACAGAGGCCCCCGAATGCTTGCCTGCCAGTATCACATCATCTCTGTGACATAATAGAAATACATACACTAACATCTGAGCACTGAACCATAAAGTGCACAATGATTTGTTCACACACATTCCAGTGGAACAACCAATACCACTACAGGCCTGGAACTGTTACGCAGTAGAAGTATGACTCTGGCTGTTTTGTAGATGCCACAGCATCCTACTTGGAAAAGCTTCTGTCCCTGGAAATAAGTTTAGTGTTACCATGACTCAGTCCAAAAATCTGGGATGATTAAAGTGACCCTGTGGCAAAAACTAAACATTCCATCTTTAAAATAAATGATATCTTTAGGAGCACTAAAGATTGTGAGAGAGATGATTTAAAAGAAACCATTGGACTCATAAAAGTGAGAGTGAAGTAGACATTGATTGAGAATGACATAACATGTTCACAGTCTAACATGAGGTCTGTTATGGCCTTTGGTGTAAATGGTTAGGGTTGACTCTATCCCAATATAAAATATATTTTTAAACAACTTACTATCACATGTATTTGGCGTGTGTAAACTAGTCTGTGCTAGCCTTCATAGAAGCTGTGTGATTTCTCATTTTGAAAACTGCCGGAACTACAGCTCAGATGTTATGTTATGTTTATGTATTTAGAAGTGACAGATTTAAAGTGACAGATATTGCACCATCAAACATGTTTCCAACAAACTGAAAACTATTTGTTGCATCTACAGTAGATGAAATAAACAAAAAGTAAGAAAGCTGTGCTACAGGAATTCTATACAAATGCACTGTGCACGCCGTTCTCTATCCGGTCTGTAAGTCCATCATTTTACTTCCATAAACACTTCTAAAACGTCTCAAATCAACCTTTTTAACATAAGTCTGCAAATATTTGTCATTGCAAATGT